GAGGACAGACAGACTCAGACTCAACGACAAGACTAGAAGCGTAGTCTAGACGACAGCGAGCAGCAAAGTCGACGAGCTCAGCAACTAGGGCAGACGCAGCAGTGGACTCAAAGGAAGGGTCAGTGACGACAGTAGCAAGGAGACGCGTGACAGTAGGACTGGCAGCACGAAGAGAGTCCGACTCCGGGTCGGGAAGAGCAGGAAGAGAGGACGCAGGAGGAGAAGGCAAAGGGGCACGCAGAGGAGCAGTGGACGGACGCAGAGACATCCGGTGCGTGCCAGGGACAGGAGGAGGACGCTGACGCGAACCACGGCCACTAGTGCGAGCAAGACGGACAGGTGACGCAGGGCGAGACGCAGGCTCACGACGCTCAGCCAGACCTCCAGTAGGACCAGTGTAGGGAGAAGGAGCGGGCAGTGTGGAGGCCGGCTGTAACTGTAACTGTGACGGGACAGGCTGTGGACACTCTAAGGGAGGAGGAGGACCAGTAGAAGGCGGGAGACCAAGAACCTGCTGAAGGAGCGGAACGAAGTACGGCCGAGGCCGCGCGGCGACTCCAGACACAGCAGGGACAGCACCTCCAGCTCCAGTACCTCTAGCAGCACCAGTAGCACCCCCAGCAGGACCGCCTCCAGGACCGACAGCAGGAGCCTCAGCGCCAACACCCTCAGCAGCTCCAGCTCCAGGCGTACCCGCAGGCCCAGCAGCTCCAGTACTCCCAGTACGAGCACCTCCGGGACCCGCGGCACCAGCACCCTCAGCAGTCGAAGAACCTCCAGCTCCAGCAGCACGCCTCCAGCGCCGGGCAAACCACTCTCGCAGCTCCTGTGGAGAGAGTGGCTCCCGCCTAGAAGAAGCACTCGGAGAACCTCCAGGCTCAGCACCGCCAGACGCCACACGAGCAGGCCCAGCTCCCTCAGGCTCCGCACCCCCAGGCTCAGCACCTCCAGGCGTAGCACCCCCCAGGCTCAGCACCCCCAGGCGTAGCACCCCCAGGCTCAGCACCCCAAGGCTCAGCACCCCCAGTAGTAGCACCCCCAGTAGTAGCACCCTCAGGCTCAGCACCCCCAGGCGTAGCACCCACACGCTCAGCACCCCCAGAGTCAGCACCCCCAGGCTCAGCACCCTCAGCAGCACCAGAGTCACCAGTAACCTCGACAGGCTCGACTGCGTCTACCTGGGACACACCTGAAGGGGCAGGACCCTGAGGGGGGAGGGGGTCTACCGGGGGGGGACCTGGCACAAGGAAGAGCGGTGGCGGGGGGAGGGACGGAGTGCGGTAGGGGAAGAGGCGGTAGTAGGGGACCGACTCGTCAAACGTGACGTCCTGGGAGGACAGAACACGGCGAGAGGTGGGGTGGTAGAACTGCCACCCTGGCGCGTCAGGGGGGAAGCCAAGGAAGACGCAAGGAGCAGCACGAGGGGACAGCTTGTCCGCAGACAAGTCGCGGACAAACGCCCGAGATCCCCAGACACGGAACGCAGACGCATCGCCAACCTTCCCCGTCCACAGCAAAGCTGGGGAGGTCTCCGGCATGGAGACCCTGGGGTGAAGGTTGATCTGATGCGCCGCGTACCGAACCGCAAACGGCCACAGAAAATGGGGGGCAGCCGCATGCATCATGGACGTACGGGCGACGTCCATGACCATGCCAATGCGGCGCTCAGCAATCCCATTTTGCTGTGGAGAGTCCGGAAGCGTGAAGGTCTGGCGGATGCCTCGTGCACGACAGTAGGCTCGCAGAAGGCCAGAGGAGAACTCTCCACCTCTGTCAGAGTGCAGACGCAGAACAGGAAAGTCCGAGCCGAAGCTCTGCCTGAGCTGGAGACGAGCTGCGCGGATCCAGTCGATCAACACCTCAGTGACATGGTGCAGCAGTGGCAGGGGAGGAGTAGCGCGCAACTACAGCGTCGTACAAGGTGTGAGCACTCTTGTACTGGCTAAAGTGCGCACGCTCAGAGGTAGGCAGGTGACGACGCACAGCTAGACGTGCAGCAGCATCGCGTGTGGCCCACTGTGAGCGAACAGTGGCGTCGGCATCAGCAGCAGGGGCAGGAGAGGCACCAGAGGTGAGATCAAAGAGGGAGAGACCGTCTGCCCTATCGCACTGTAAGAAAAGCTGCAGGTCATCTACCCAGACGTCAAAGTCAATGGCCCGACCCTCAGCGTCAAAGGCGAGGACACTAGGGGTAGCCATGACAGCAGTAGACTAGCAGTGCAAACAGTAGGGTAAGGGCAGTGCAGTGATAGAGGCGCTGCTCTTACCGGACAGGGCGGCTCGGGCGGCTCGGCAGGACGGCGGGTCGGCGACACGGCGGCTCGGGCGGCTCGGCGGCTCGGGCGGCTCGGGCGGCTCGGGCGGCTCGGCAACTCGGCGGCCCGGGCGGTTCGGCGGTCGGCTGCTGGGCGGCTCGGCGGCTCGGCGGCTCGGCTGCTCGGCTGCAGGACGGCTCGGCGGCTCGGGTGCTCGGCTGCTGGGCGGCTCGGCGGCTGGTGTGGTTGGTGACGACCGCGGCAGCAGTCGCAGAAGTTGTGGCGACTGCTGCTGCAGAGACGGCTGCGGCTGCTGCCTCAGGGACGGCGGCTGCCGGCCGCTAGGGGCCGCGAAGAGCGGCGGAGAGGCCGTGAAGGGCGCCACGAGGGGCCGTCGAGGGCGGCGACAGGCCGTGAGGAGGCCGCGGAAGGCGGCTCGAGGGGCTGCGAGGGGGCCGTAAGGGGCCGACTGGCGACGGGAGGGGCCGAAGGGGCCGCGGGAGGGCCCGTAAGGGTAGCGCGAGGGGCCGTAAGGGCGGCACGAGGGGCCGTAAGGGCGGCACGAGGGGCCGTGAGGGCGGCGCGACGGGCGCGACGGGCCGTAAGGGCGGCGCGACGGGCCGTAAGGGCGGCACGAGGGGCCGTGAGGGCGGCGCGACGGGCGCGACGGGCCGTAAGGGCGGCGCGACGGGCCGTAAGGGCGGCGCGACGGGCCGTAAGGGCGGCGCGACGAGCCGTAAGGGCGGCGCTAGGGAGCCGTGAGAGGGCCGCTAAGGGCGACGCGACGGGGCCGTGAGGGGCCTAGCGAGGGCGCGACGGTAGGGAGAGCACACAGGGCGCGACTCGGGCCGGAGCGAAGCGCGCTCCGGGCAGGAAAAAAAAAAAATCGTGGTGGTGGGCCCTAGGAATCGTTCCCACTAGGGAACCTGCTCGATACCATGAGAAGAAACGAGGAATGAATGACTAAGGGAAAGTTGGGTACAAATGTAAACCCTAGAAAACTGTACCCCATATGTGCTACCCCACTATAGCCTACAGTAGCTATGTCATATAAATCTGACACCCCCACCCCTCTTCCCCCTTATCCATCGCTTCTCTAACAGCTCAGCCCCCGTTCCGATGCCCTCGCTCCTCTTCCAGGCCTAGTCCAGCCTTCTCCCCCTTCCCCCCAGCCTTACGGTAGGTCCCCTCCCCAGGTCCCCGCTCCCATGCCCCTCGTAAAGTCTCGCAACAGCCCAGCCCCCCCTTCCTTCTCGCGTCCCTCCACCACCCAACCTGATCCCTCGCATCGCAGCCCCTCAATGCCACGTGCACGCCACTCAACAGCGACACGCCTGTCAGCAAGCGAGCTGTCAGCGCCGCGCCAGGGGCGCGTTCATTAACAAAAACAAGTGTGATTATGCTAGACAAGGGAGTTATCGTAGCTAAATCAGACTATGCAAATTAAACAGTCTGAAAAAACAGACTTAGCCCCAACATTCGTCTGGAAAATCAGACCAAAAAAATATGCCCGTCTGATCGTCAGACGGAACGATTTTTTACTTTGGTGTTTTCAGACAGGCCCAAATCCTAGCAAGAGCCCTGCTAAGGGGTAGATTCCCTTATTCTAACCAAATTCAAACCGTGCGGCGCGGGAACCCGTTTCAAACATGTTCCCGCTCTTTTCACTTCAAATGTTTCTGCTTGCATCGGTCTTGGTCAGACGGTTGCCGCGTCGCTTCGACTCTTCTGACTTCATACTCAGTAGAGTCGGCTCCTGCAGCATACATGAATGCCTACTCATGTAATTTCATATCGTGAACAGTGGCGGGAGTCGTGGTCGAGGCGAATGTCGTGAACAGGTAACGTTCATGGATGGGTGCCGATGGCGGGAACGGTTATGTACGCGGTAAGCAGGGACGCGAAGTAAGGAAAAGGAATTTTCCTTACACGAAGACAAAACATATGTTCGATTCGAGCACTTTAGAGAGAACATTGATCAGCTCTAACGCGAGGAGATCCATCCATGGCGGTTGTAAGGAGGAGAGATCCATCCAAATCCTAAAAACGTGTTGGGTGTTGCATCAGGTGGCCATGAGTACATAACCGTATGATAAATTCGAGACATGATATCACCCGAGAGTGTACATAACATACGGTAAGGGCTACAAAAGGGGAAGACCAACTATTAAGTCACATAACAACACATGAGTACAAAAGAGGCTGGTCGACTGGCAACTGAAAAAGATGCCCGGGAGCGCCGGCCATAGGAAGGGGAGAAAGAACAGATGCAAACGAGCAGTTCGCATTTTATGGATGTGCGGTCCGATCCTAAAGACTGCTCGGTTCAGTGTCGACGATTGAACTGAAAGTCGTACAGAAATCGTAGTACAAAATCGTACAGCCGCTGGTGACCCGCGGCAGCCCCTTCCGGGCGTTTATTGGTCAGAAGAGGGCGTAGTATAAGCTGAGCAGGTTCTTGGCACGATGCAGAGTGACGTCAGGCCTTACAGCGGCGGCAGCAGCGGCAGCAGTAGCAATAAAATCCCTTGGTCGATCGAGCAGGCGCGCCAATTATTATCGTGACTGGTAACCTGGAGGCGGAGGTACACCGCGACCTTATTACACCCCCGGGGCGGCCGATCAAACGGCCTCGACGCGCTTCCCCACGACGCTTTCACAGGCAGAGAAAAATACAATACAACACGCACACGGTGGAGCGCACGAGAGAATCCTCCGCGCGCGACTCAAGCTGCGGCGGAACCTTTACTCCTGGGAGAAATACGAGGTCTGAACGGTCATCAAGTGCATCTCGAATTCTTCCTCCGAAGGCAACGGCTCGAACGATTCGGCGGCATCGGCGAATGCTGAAGCGGGGGGGGAAGTAGGCGAGTCGCACTCCGACGCGGGCCAAGACGCGCTGAATTCGTGCACGGCGCGGGGGGAGTTCCGCAGCGGCGAGCTTCCGCCGTCGATGGAGTTTCCGCGCTTGTGTGCGGAGACGGGCGCGAGATTGTGCGCTGGTAGGCGGAAATCAGAATTGGCGGAGGCGGCTGCGGAATTGGCGTTTGCGAGGAGAGCGTTGAGCGCCTGCAGTTGTTGTTGCTGCTGGTGCACGCGGAGCGCGGCAGCATCGAGGCTTGCGTTGACGGCGACCTTGTTGTTAAGGTTAGCGAGCGCGATAGCTTGCAGGTATTGCTGAACATTCTGCTGCCTCTGCTGCTGGAGTAGGAGAAGGAGCATCTGTCGCTGCTGCTGCTCCCAGAGAGCTGAACCCGAGCCTGAACCTACTGGCACGTTTCCTGACCCGAGAACGCCTGCGGCAGCGGCGGCTAGTTGTGAACGGCGAATTTGCTCAAGAAGCAGCGCGTTAGCCGCGACCGTGGTGTTCTGGTTAGCTGCGTTATTCAGTGCTTGCTGCTGCTGCTGTTGGGCTAGAAGCAACCTTTGAAGGATTACGGCATTGGAGTTAGCGGCGGCGGTGGAGGCTGTGGTGTAGTCTTCCATGGATGCGATGGGAGTTTGAAAGAGCGAAAAACTGCGGTTGAGTAAGAAACCCTAGTCGAAGGATGAGCAACGAAGTGGACTGGGCTGGAGTGTCGCTGATATAGGAGGGCGGTTGGGGAAGTTGGTTTGTGGGCTTGGGACGAGAGGCTTGTTTGCTTGCAACCGGGTTGTGCGGAGCCAAATTGGTTTGGATAATTGTCTGGATGGTTTGGAATTGGGAAGCCATCGCCCTATTTAGAGGTGATCGCCTCGAAAGCCGGTCCCTTACCGTGTGGGTTGAAGGAACGGCGAAACGAGTCGCACACGCGAGTGGAGAGCTTCGCACCCGTGTGGCGCGCTAACCCAGCTGGCGACGTGATGCGACGCGGGGAAACTTGTTGCGTACAAGGCAAACGTCACGAGGGTTGGTGCGGCGTGGTGATTGGCTGTGATGTGACGGACCCGGCTAGGATTGGCCGCTCGACGTAGAGGTTTCTCACTGAAAGCCTTCGAGTCGCCTCGTTGGTGAGGTTTGAGGAAGCTCCCGCTTGGTTCACTTACAGGGGCCAAAGTTTCCGCGCATAACGACAAAGCTATAATCCCGCAACCTGCCAGACCACATACCAAAAGGTCCATGTGGCGAGTCGCCTGGACTCAGTGAAACAAGGTTTGTTCATTCAGAGTATGGAACTTTTTTTCTGATTGTGGGAGGTGACCCCAATCTGACATGGAAAGCTGAGCTGCACGGTAAAAGGCTGGAAAAAACCCGAATTGGTTTTCTGTAGTGCAACAAAGTAGCTCCAAGTTCATTCAAGAAACTTTTGTTTTTCCCGGTTTCCCGCAGACCCACATTGACACCTGCCATACTCCGCAAGCTATCTCTAAATATGGACACAACTGGTTCCATGTGGAAGTGCACCGCACACCGCTGGCTACTCGACTGCCAGTGAACCAGCGGTGAGTCGATGACGCGGCACCGAAGCCCCGTGCAATAGGGCTGCCAGCTCAGTCGCTTGCAACGTCACAGACCCTTTTCGCCGCCTTGTTTCCGTCTGTGCTGCGGTGTCACGGATAGCTCGAATGCGGTTGGGGAAGCACTGTCCCCACACCATCCCCGAATTGTTGGCACCCACTGATCGTTGCCCATGTGCATAAGAAAAAGTGGAGAAACAATTTTTCCAAACAAAAAATCTGCAAGTATATCTGTTTATGAAGCAATACACCCGTAGTATCCCTAAGACAACAGTGGTAAATATGTAACTTACTGATAGTATCAACTAATAAACGCAAATATAGGTTTTCACAAACATAAGGGCAACCTCATGGTCAACCCCACCACAACGAACAAGAACATGGGGGAAGTGCCGCGTCAGCCTAGCCCCAAAAAGCTGTCAGCCTGGCCCCTCAAAGCTGTCAGCCAAGTCCGTGCACCTGCTTCAAGCAAGGCCCTCAAATTCCACTTTCCGAATCTCCATGGTTCCGCCACCTGACCTGGATGCGATGTGACTCGGCAGCACGACTTTGCGGGCCAGATCCTACCAAACCCCCGAACCTGAAATTCGAGAGTGTAGGCTAGACCCCCACAGCTGCCAGTGTTCAGGTTTCGATAACAAACTTTTCGTGACCTGTCCATCCCGCATGTGGCAGCTTGTGGGGTAACCGGGCAATAGGGACATGTTCTGGGATGTCAGCGCATGTTCTATTCCTTCGTCAACAGTACCTTCGGTTCTGAAAAATCCACGCTAAACCGAAATGCTTCACAGGTCTGGTTTCTGGACAAGGCCAGACCTAACCAGTGTAAACATATATTAGTGTTTACAAGCGCCAAATTTCAAGCTATAACCATATTTAGAGAAAAGAAACGTTGAAGGGTCATCAAGGCCTGGATAAGCAGCCTAAGAGTAGGAGGCTCGGGGTGTTGCGCTCACAACCAGCCGAGAAGATTGTGCACTTTTAAAGCACGAGTCCCAAATTGCAAGCCGCGGGGCATCAATATTACCGTACCGTACTAATCTTTATGACCTTGGTGTTGCCCTGCGATAAGTTTTACAAATCTAGCCTAGTTCCAAACTTGAAGAACCGTGTTCCGCAATTTGGGACTTCAGCACAAACACAAGCACCGACAAAGACACCAGTGCTAGACACCGGCCCAAGTGCCCAGCCATCAAATCTGGTACTTGGGCTGCGGGCTTTAATGAATCCTTCCTCCAACATCATTAATTTATCCAAGTATGAAAAGATTGATTCTGTTCACTGAACGCAATCTACATTTTTCATAACCCCACCACCAGCTTGGCAAATGAGAGCAATAAAACGATACAGGGAGAAGGGCAAATGTGAAAATTTCGTGTGCAACGCAGGGGCTGGACAGCAGAGTCCCAGATCATAAGGCCTACTCTAAAGGGAATTCTGTGTAGAACAAAAAACCGAACCCATTGACGCTTCTAACCGTTCACACCAGGGCTGTCGATTGGTTTGGAGCCAGAACTTGAGAGGCTGAGGTGCCCCAAAAGTTGCCCTGAAATTTCCGGGCTGAGAGCAAACCTGGCACTTGAAATCAGGGCTACCAACTTTTTTGCACTTCGCCAGGGATACCGTATCCTAGGCAAACTACTAAGAGCCAACTAGGCAATAGGCTGAGGTACGAAACATGTCGATGGATTTGAGGGGGTGGGAGAAGGAAGTAGGGGAGTGGCTGGGAGGAGGTGGGGGGACTGGTGAGCGAATGGGAGGGAGGGAGGTATTAGTATGGGACGATAAGGGCTAGCCGCGGGATCTGCACTTGAAATCCGGGTTAGGCCCACAACCAGCACTTTGCAGGGAAAGGGCTGCCCTCAAAGCCAACCCTTAAAATTCGGAAGCTGGGCCAAACCCAACCCTTAATGTTCAGGGCATTAAGGGCATTTGCCCTTGAATCGTCAGCCCTGGTTCACACTACTGCTGTCTGACATCAACGCCTTCACATCGGCTACTAGATTCAAGCAATAGAACCTTACAATCAAAGCGCAAATGAGATCAAATTTATTATTCTTCGCCTTGGCAACTACCCCCTCGCAGTCCGTATTTTCCCTCCCTACCATCCATAGCCACCCGATCCACCAGCGCCGCCATAACCACCCCCTCCTCCGCCACCACCACCTCCACCACCATAACCACCGCCGCCAGGAGCACCTGGACGGCCCCCATAGCCGCCAGCGCCACCATAACCGCCGCCGCCGGCACCACCGTCGCCTCCACTAGGGCACTCGCGCGCAAAGTGGCCCCTCTCGCCGCACTTGAAGCAACCGCCACCACCCCCGGCGCCGCCGCCGGCGCCGCCGGCACCTCGGGCCTGGTATCCGCCTCCGCCACCACCCCATCCGCCACCACCGGCACCGCCACCGGCGTTCCACCCACCACCACCACCACTGCCATAACGGGCGCCACCGCCGCCGCCGCCGGATCCTCTGGGTTGCGCCATGTTGACGGTGATGGTACGACCGTCGAGACTTTGGCCGTTCATTGCCTCAATTGCTTGATCCATGCCGGGCTTCTCGTTGAAAGACACGAATCCGAATCCTCTTGATCGCCCGGTTTCTCTGTCATTGACGATCTGCGAGAGCCGAAACGCGAAGACGCAGAAACACTATTAGTGTCTGATGGAGAAACAACCGCGAAAATTATGCAGGAACGAATGCTGTATCGGCAAGTTTCCGGGTTTAACATCCAGATAACGAGCAATAAGTTTCGACTTCATTTGTTACCGCGACGTGTTTCCACAATAACTGTGCAACGTAAAGGTCCGTCATGCAAAACTGGCATGAAAGCTGAAAACAAACATCAAACCTTCAAAAAAGGAACGGAAGGTGGCATACCTTGGCGTCAACGGCGCCATATTGACTGAAGGCTTCCATGAGCCCTCTGTCGTCCGTGTTGTACGACAGTCCTCCGACAAAGCACCGCAATTCTTCCGACATGATGAATACAGGCGGCAAGGCGACACACGCACAAGGGAGAGACAAACAGAGATATCCTTGCCGAACAGGAAGCTTGCGTAGAACTGTCACACGAAGAAATGGAACCAAATAGATTTAGCTGCTGGAAGATTTATACGTAAATCTTCGATTCCTCAAATGGGTAACGGACGGGGGTTGGAACTTGGAGGAGAGCCGAATTGAAGGGTTTGGGTTTGGGGGGAACGCCACAGGCAAGTGCGGATGGGAATTGAAAGGTTGTGCGCGAACTTGGGGTGAAATGCGAGGCGCGGAGCGGAGAGTTATGGCTTGCATCCATAGCGTGCGGGGCGCGGAACACGAATTGTGAGGAGGAATTGGAAATATCTCGAGAGAATCGATGGACGTGGCAGGAAGTGGTTGGGCAAAGACTAGGTAAATCAGAAAGGGATGTATTATAGAGACCAGGTGTACACGGTAGCTCTATTTGGCGAAACAATTGTGCTAATATAGAGATTCGCATTGGCCACATCGACACGTATATTTTGTCGAGGGGCAGAAACCCTTGCTTGCCCTTTGCCCGCCGATGAAGAATGTGTTATTGGACGCCGCACGGCTTGATGCGCCGTCATGAAGCAAAACATCCCGTAAAATACGGAACCAATCTGACCTAAGCCTTGTTGTGGTTGTAATCTGACGTTGTACACGGACTTTGGAGACACCACACGGGCAGAATGAAATCACCACAATATTATGAGACACACAACTGCAGCCCGAAACGGACGGGGAAAAAAACATTCTGATCCGCGTATGAAGCAACTCGCTTGAAGCTCACAATTGATATTTACAGAAACCAGCAGACTCTTAGATATTTCAGCTTTGACCGCGATACACGTCAGCATTTGCACCACAGTGTACATGCACTCAAGCAATGCGGTGCGCACTTCGCATGCCTTCCCCCAAACCAACCCACAGCCGCCATGCATCCACCCAGCCAAGGCAAGCAGAATATTTACCTGTCCCCTCCCCGTGCACCAAAATCTGCGTACCTCCAGGCTCCTGGTGCTTCAAAGTACTAAACGCCCAATCCCCCGAGATGTACAAGTCTTCACACTTGGTCGCCAGTGCGCCAGTGCTCCACCAGCACGTGAACCACCAGCCGTCTCCTCGCCTCGCTCGCGCTGCATGCCAAGCGGGTGCACCACTAGTGCTTACAGGTTTGTGGCCGCCACGTGTCGACCAACAACCGATTATTCTAGCTGGACTGCGCCGCGATGGCCTCGGAGGGAATTGCTGCGTGGGTGGAAACCCTTTACCTTCTCCATCTCGTCGCCCGCCGCGTGCGGCCTTGCGAGGCGCGCGAATCCCACCTCCTCGAAATGCCACCTCTTACTACGACGAATTCCGCGCCGCGCGGGGGGTTTCACAGCCCCCGCCTCGCACCCGCTCTCCCCCCGAGCCACCTCCGCTCGTGCCTCGGCGCCCGCCTGGCCATCGTCGCACGCCCCCCTCTCTCTCGTGAGGCCCCCCACCCCACTCCCCGCGGGTCGCGTTTTATTCGTCTGGAGCGCCTCGGGTCCTCTCTTGCAGTCACCTTCCTCTAGTGCGCTATGCCACCGTTTCAGGCCCAGAGCGCAGTGCACAAGCGCGCTCTCCCGTGCTCTCGTTCCATCACTTTCCATCAACCGCCTGGAGACTTCTTCCCCCGAGCTGCGCTGCGGCAACGAGGCTACTATTTTAGCCCGTGTGCGGCGTAGCTCTTTTTCGCGCGCTTTCTCTTTTTTTTTTAAGCATGTCGCACTCGAAGCATGGCTGACGTCATCGACTCTTGGACTTTAAGAACCGGCGAGCTTGGTCGCGGCGCCATCGACGACCCGTGGCGCGCCGGAGCCGCAGTTCCTGTTGAAACCAGTACTCCTGGCAAGGGCGGCGAATCTTTGACCGGTCAACGCGGCGAGTCAACCGCGGTGGACCAGTCCGCGCAGCTGCCCGCTGCGGAGAGACCCGTTGGCGGAAGCGCCACCGAGGGGGCTTCGCCGCAGAAGCCGCATCAGCCCCTCCTTCCGCCGGCCTCCATGTTCCAGCAGCAGCCGGCTCCGGCGGCTGCGGAGAGGGAGCGGCGCGCAGAGGGCGCGGAGGGGGCGCAAGGGGGGCGTGCACTCCGGGAGGGAGGCGCAGTGGCGGAACCGGAGCAGTCCGCGGAGATGGAGGCTGCGGCGGTTGAGGGGAAGGGGCCGCTGGCAGTATCGTCTTTGGAAGAGCGGAAGGAGATTGCGGAGGGGGAGGAGCTTCATCAGAAGCCCCGTATCTCAGAGAAGGTAGGTCAGTCTCTGTCAAGAGTAGGAGTGCTTTTAACGAGAAACGCTGAGATTCTGCTGCGCACTGTATCAGGCTGAAGGCGTTTTTCGCTGATGGTCCACCCGTTCTGAGTATCTGTCGTCTCAGCGTTTTTCACTTGCACTCATATTCCTTCTCCTTCCTCCACCCTCCCCCTCTTTTCCTGGCTTGTGCCTCCCACCCCATATGGCAGATCGCCCGATTCTTCAGAGCTACAGGAAAGCCCAGGAGCCGCAGAAGCACTGAGGAGACGGAGCCTCCAAGACAAGTCGTAGCAAGGGAACCCGCAAGAGAGTCGGGACGAGAATCTACGAGGGAACCTGCAAAGGAATATGCAAGGGAGCCTGTAAAGGAACCGACAATAGAGAGTATAGCAGCTGAGAGCGGTCAGGGTGCAAGGGGCAGGGCTTCGGAGGGGGTGGGTGAAGGGGAGCAGGTGTTAAGGGGGAGGGGCATGGGCGAGGGGTCTTCCGGTGTTACTAGCGGGGGCCCTGCTGGTGCTACTAGCGGGGGCCCTGCTGGTGCTACTAGCGGGGGCCCTGCTGGTGCTACTAGCGAGGGCCCTGGTGGTGTGACAGGCGTTTCTGGCACGGGAGCAACAGGCTCCACATCAGGCCGTGCTGCTGCAGCGGGTAGTGAGGGTGAATTTGTTGCTCCTGGTGCTGCTGGTGCTCCTGATGCTGCTGGTGCTCCTGGTGCTGCTGGTGCTCCTGGTGCTGCTGGTGCTCCTGGTGCTGCTGGTGCTCCTGGTGCTGCTGGTGCTGCTGGTGTTGGTACAGCAGGTGCTGGTACGACAGGTGCTGCTGCTGCGCCAGAGCCCTCCACCACGCCTGGAGCAGCAGCTGCAGCATCGGCCATCCAGCAGGCCGTGCGAGCAGGGAAGAGCGAACAGGAGGCTGCTGCTGACGCAACCGCTGCCGCTACCTCTGCTGTGACTGGTGCTACAGCTGGAAAATCTGATGCTGGAGGTCCCACTACAGGTCCTGCCACTACCCCCGCTACAGGCCCTGCTATTACCCAAGGCCCTGCTACGACCCCGGCTACAGGCCCTGCTACAACCCGTACCCCTGGTCCTACTGCCGTTTCTGCCCCTGCTGGTATTTCTCCAGAGCCCTCCACCACCCCTGGAGCAGCAGCTGCAGCATCGGCCATCCGGCAGGCCGTGCAAGCAGGGAAGAGCGAACAGGAGGCTGCTGCTGATGCTGCCGCAGCTGCGGCAGGAGAGATGGGACAGGGTGGGAAAGAGGTGGTGGAAGGGGGGGGGATTGGCAGGAGGGAGGTGGAGAGGAGGGGCAGTGAGGAGGAACGATTGGAGGCAGCAGCAGGGGTAAGAACACCCACAGAAGAGAGGGGTGTGGGGCTGGCAGGAAGACAGAGAGGCACTGAGGTGAGTGACTGGGACTGTGACTGGGCTCCAGATAGCTATGTGAAGTTCTTAGATAGCTGTGAACTTATCCTCAGAGCGTTTGCGCGTTATGTTTCTCTCTTTCATTCTCAATTCTGTTAACCTGACTCCGTTGTCGTGTCTCTGCAATCGCAGGGGAGTGCGGAGGGTGGGAAAGTGAAGCAGCTGGTGAGGAGCTTCGACGGATCTCCCAGGCTGCTACAGCCGTCGCTACAGCCGACACAGGGGCAGACACGGCTGCAGTCGTCGCCAGGCGTGCAACAGCAGCCGGTGCAGCCAGCAGCAGCAGCAGCTGCATCATTCCCTGCAGGAACCCCACCGGCAGTAGCAGGCACTGCAGCGAGCAGAGTTGCACAACCATCACCGCCACCATCAGGAGCAGGAGCAGCAGGAGCTGGAGCTGCAGTGCGAACACCAGCAGCAGCAGCTGCATCACCAGCGTCTCCTGGCGCAGCAGCAGGAGCCGCAGGGAGGTCAGTCTCCCCAGGAGCAGCAAGAGCAAAATGGGGTCAAGCATCCCCGGGAGCAACAGGAGCAGGAGGGTCAGTGTCGCCTGTATCCCCCGGAGCAGCAGGCGGGCATGGGTCAGTGTTGGAGCGACTCAAGTGGCTGGAGTGGCAGGTGCACACCATGCAGCAGGCCGCCACAGGCGCTCCTGCGGAGAGTGCTGGGAAGCTTCCCGCTGCAACGCCAGGTGGTGTTTCAGGAGTTTCAGATGTTTCGGAGGTTGGTTCTGGAGGGAAGAGAAAGAGGGTGCTGGCTCCTCTTGCTATGCGTGGGGGAGAGGGGGAAGAGATGGAGGGATTTACCAGGGGAGCTCCCTTTGGGGAGGAGCAAGAAAGGGAGATGGCGAAAGGGGAGGCAAGAGAGGAGGCGAAAGAGGGAGGGATGTTCGGAGGGATGGTGAGTGGAGGAGAGGGAGGAGGGATGGGAGAGGAGGAAGGAGCAGCGGTGCCTTTGGTGGTTGTGGCTCGGGAGATTGAGCAGCGGGGATCCATTATCGACCGCATTGCACACCTGGAAACCACGCTCAACGCCCTTGCAGCTTCTGGGATTCCTGTCCCTGGCAAACCCGCTCCTGCTACTCTTGTCCCTCCTGCTCCTGCTACTCCTGCTTCTGCTCCTACTGCTGCTGAAACTCCTGCAATGCCTGTTCCTGTGTCGAGAGCAGCAGCTGAATCCCGCATATCACGAGGAGCAGAAGAATTAGCTGGAAAAGCGCGTGAGGTTGGCTATGCCGTCCCTGCTGCTGGAGGGGCAGAGGCAGAGATGGAGGCAGGGGCAGAGGAAGCGGAGGCTGAAGCAGTGGCAGCGCCGCCGGCAATGGCCGAAGCTGAAGAGGAGGAGGCAGAAGAGGGAGGGGAATGGGGTGAGGAAGTGGAAGGCAAGTGGGGGTTGGCCAGTGAGGAAGGTGCTGGGCCTGAATCTTCTGCTGCTGCCAGTGCCGGTGCCGGTGCTGCTACCACTGCTGCTGGTGCGGCAGCAGCTCCTGTGTCTGTTTCTACTCCCGCTGAAACCACTGCTCCATCCGTGGCAGCAGCAGCAGAATCAGAAGCACCCTCTGCTGCAGTCACTGCTCCCTCTGCTGGTCCCTCCAGGCCCTCTGCTGTAGCACCTGAGGCGGCACCTGAGGCGGGTGGAGCACCTGGAGCACCTGGAGCACCCGGGGAGGAGGCTGAGAAGGCAGTGGCAGCACATGCTGCAGAGGCAGCTTTGGCCAGGGCGCCTGAGGGGGAGAGAGCAGAGGAGACAGCAGAGGTGGCCGCTGCTGCTGCTGCTGGAGCAGTGCGGGCAGTGGAAGGGGTGGGGGCTGGTGAGGAGGGTGGCGGGGAGGGTGGTGAGCAGGGTGGTGAGGGGGAAATGATGAAGCCTACAATTGAGCAAACTCCTGCAGCTGCCAAGGTACTTTCGTACCTTTTTAGAAGGGATCTTGAATTTGGTTTGAATTTGCATGTGCACTTGTTTGGTCCAACCAACCAACGTCTTTCATCTTGTTTTGGCCTTCCCAGAAATATCAGCAACTCTGTCACGTTATTTTGGTGCGTTTTGCCTTTGCTTGCCTGATCAGGTGTCAGGGGAAGGGGAAGGGGAAGCAGGGACGAAGCAGCGTCGCCGCTATCGGCGCAAGAAGCGGCCTGAAAGGGTGGAAGGGAAGAGCAGGTGCAAAATTATGTGACCGTAGGGGAAGTGTTTCTGTTTCTTTCTTGGTGGGAGGAGGGGCGGGGATGTGGCTGGGTGGGGGTTTGGATTAGAATTGTTGGCTGTATGCTCCTGATGTTTTTTCTTCCTGTTTTATAGATCTAGTTGCTTGGCTGATTCCACTAATAATGATAGGCACGTGTAAAGTTGATCTGCGCGCAATGCTAGAAGATATTAAGCGTGTTCTCTATGTTCCTTTTCATTTGTTGTTGAATTTTTTTTGTAGTAAAATAATGTGAAGACAATTTTGAGCACCTATACTTGTACTTATGTCATTAAACCTGTGGCCCGTTCCGAGTCTGCTTGTATCACGTCCGTTCAACCTCCTGATCACCTCAGCCCGTTTCCGTGCATGCATGTCGTCCTCGCTCACCAGACAGAAGGCCGTCGCATCGAGCTGTACCGAGCTGAATCGCATAACACCTTGTTAATTTACGCGGTAGTAACGCGCGGCGCGGTTATACACAGAAACCACACCGCTCATGCTGCCACCATGCTCCGATCGCTAAAGCTCGCTCCTCACGCCGCGCGTGCCGCTTTTCGGCCCGTCGATCCCGCATGCGCGAGAGCGTCCTCGTTAAAAGCCGCCGCGATAACCTGCAGAGGATATTCGTCGGCGGAGGCGGACAGTGAGTATTGGAAGCACGTGGCCAACTCCGTTCCGCGCGGACCGGGATCCGCGGAGAGCGCGGCGGCGGAGATCATCGAGCGCAACCTCGTGCGCGGTCCCTCCGCGGAGGAGCGCAGCCCCGCCGCGGTGCTGACGTCACGGCGGGAAGCGCTGGACCTGTGAGTAGCTGGGGGGGGAAGGGGAGGGGGTGGGGGTGGGGAGAGGCGGGGAAAGGAGGGAAGGAGCGGGGAAAGAAGGAAAGGAGCGGGGATGGGAGGGGGGAGTGTGGGGGGGAGATGGTGGGGGAAAGGCGGAGTGAGCCAGGGAATGGGGCGGAGTGCGCGCGCTGTAATTGCGCGCGGTAGAAGCCAGCCCCAGGTTGGGGGATGGCGGGGCGAGGCAGGGCGAGGCGGGGCGGGTGGTTGTCAGGACCCAGGGGGATGCGTGAGATGAGCGTGTGAGGCCGTTAGTGCTGTGGGTGCTTGGTGGCAGCGAGAGTGGGGGGTTTCTGGTGTGCTGGGATCGGATCTACTCGTAGACGGTACAAGGCTTGCTGTGGGGGAGGAAAGGAACCCATTGGCTCTCTCAGCCAGAGAGATAATGGGTGTTCTGCGAGAGTGGGGAGTTTTGCTGCGGGAGTTTTGCTGCAGGAGTTTTGGTGTGCTGGGGTGCACAGGGGACAGCTCTGGAGTCACACGCTCACATGGCCTCCTTCTGAGTCACACTCGTTTTGTTCATGCTCATGCCTTCGCACCCTCCACTCCCCTCGCCTCCCCTCGCCTCCCCTCGCCTCCCCTCGCCTCCCCTGCCTTCCCATTCCCTCCACTCTCCGCCCCCCCGCGGCCCATCAGTTACCGTCTTGTGCTGCGAACAACGCGGGTCTTCGTGTGGCAACACCCCTCTGGAGCCCTCTGGTATCGCCCTCACTTTTGCCCCTCCCTTGCACTTCCCCCGCCATTCCTCCGTCCTCTCCCCACCCTTACCCTGCCCTTCCCCTGCCTTTCCCACTTCCTTGTCCCCCCCTCCCCTGCCCTTCTCTCCCTTCTTTTCCAGATCTCTCCCCCCGCCTCCCCACTCTCCCACTCTGTATTACTCTACACCCCTCTCTCTTACTCCCACTTTTTCTCTCGCTATGCTTCACTCTCTCCACACTCCCTCACTTGCTCTCACTGACCATATCCCTCTGCACTCTCTATACCCTTATCACCTAACCCCTCCTGAAGCCCAACCCCTATTTCTATCCCATCACTTCTTCCAACGCCTAACCCAACGCCTGCATATGCTGCTGTCTCCCCTGTTTGCCTCCCTGTTCCTCCCTCCCGCGCGGTCGCAGGAGGGACGTGTTGAGGGAGAGTGCGCGAAAGGAGTTTGAAGCAGCCAGATTGGTCTCAGACCCTGAAATGGTATTCTGTGCCACGGCCATTCCCTTCCCCTCCTGTGGTTATGCCCTCCCCCTCCTCTTCTATTGTTACCTTGAAATGGTAATTCCATTTTGAATGCCCCTCTCCTCCTCCTGCCCCTCTCGCATCCTTTCTTGGTCTAGAGTGAAACCCTTACTCTTAACCGTTAACCATGCTCTCTCACTCGTGCTTCTATTCTCACTTGTGCCTATGTGTCCGTCCGCGTACCCGTGTGTCTGTATGTCTGGCACATCACGATACCCCCCCTCGTCCGCTTCCCCCGCGCTCAGATAGCGCGGCTGCTACTGGGAGGGCGGGATGCCATCTCCGTTGTTGTGGATAAGGTGTGCCATCTCATCTCATCATCTCATCATCTCCCTCGTTGTTATGAGACTCTCCAAGACGGGGGTTGAGATGCAGAGCACGTGTCCTTCCTCTTTGCTATAAGGTTGAGATGCACCTTCAGTCACCCTTCTTCCACTTTGCCCCCTTTCCACTTTGTTCGCTTTGCTTCCGCTTTCCCCCGTCCCTGTTTGTCGAGTCTTTCCGATTATGCTTTCCCAGTTTTGTATTTTCCCTTCCCTCTGTGACTCCTGCATCTCTGTCCGTATTCTTGGTTCACTCCCCTCTAAAGGCGCCTCAGAAGTGCATTTGCACGGTTCACGTTCTCTGCTTTCTCTCCCTAGGTCTTTGTTAAGCCACTTCTTGATCTCCAAACGCATTCTCTTCTCTTCTGCCTCCTATGCATGTGTGCATCGTGCGTGTGTGCATTTGTGCATGTGTGCATTTGTGCATATGTGCATTTGTGCATGTGTGCATGTGTGCATGTGTGCATGTGTGCATTTGTGCGTGTGTGCATGTGTGCATGTGTGCATTTTTGCGTGTGTGCATGTGTGCATGTGTGCATGTGTGCGTGTGTGCATGTGTGCATGTGTGCATGTGTGCATGTGTGCATGTGTGTGCACATGTGCATGTGTCATTGCATGGAGAGCAGCTAGTGGCAAAGCAGCAGGAGGTGGTGGAGAAGGAGCGTTCTCGGCCACCTTAGCCCGGACACCCACACACACACACCCTCTCACTCACCTCCCACACACCCATCTCACACGCTCCCACCTTACACACCCATCCCATACGCACTCATCCGAGTCACTCACGCACACACACGCACATTGTGCCCAGCCCACACATTCCATGCCCAGTCATGTCAGGTGACAGTTGGATCGCCTCAAATCAAGGACTCTCTATTTCACTGCGTACAGACGTGATCATCCATTTCAGGCATCACTGTAGATTGTAGGCATCAATGTAGGAGGCTACACGTAAACCCCTTCTTTCTTCCATGTACATAGTTCTGTATGGAATTGTGTAGTTGGATCTCTTTACAATAGGTAATACACCATGTGTAGCTAGGGTATTATCTTGCAGTAACAACAACCATTCCATCTATCCTCCTAAGATTCCCCTCTCCTGCCTCCATTAGCCAGCCTGAACATTACATGCGTAGCCTCTGTGAATACACTTCACATTGGTGTTGAAATTCTGGTGCAGAGAATTACTGGGTTAGGTTTTGAGCTAGAATTGTGATAGCATGTGGAGCTAGGACCGCAAAAGAATGGGCTTACGAATGGTTGTGGTGTGGAAGCTACTTGTAACAAAACCTAGCAAGTGTACAGAAGACAATGGCACAGGGGGTACGTAAGGAGGGTATGAGAGGGATTATAGGTTGTACACGAATGAGTTGAGTGGCATGGGTGGGACTGTGATGTGCGATACGTAATGGAAAATGTGGGAGCAAGTTGAACAAGCGACTGCCGACACGCCATAATGCACTGTGGGCTGCTGCTGCAGATGTGGCACGTGCTCGTGTGTGTGTGCATGCAGCAGCTGTCACCGGGATTGGCCGGTGATGGCTCTGATGACCTGGCAGGGTCAAGCACAAGAGGACAGGCAGGGGAAGGGACGGTAACACCATTGACGATCCTTAGTGACACGGCCTTAAAGCGGTATGCTTAAGCAGCCAGCAACACGTGGCAGGCACACACAGCAGCACGTGGCAGGCACACAGCAGCACGTGGCAGGCACACAGCAGCACGTGGCAGGCGCACAGAGAAGCACAGACACGTACCTCCTCCGTCTTGGGTTGCGCCACGGGCTTGGAGGGCGAGAGGGCGTCGCGCATAGGCGGAACGACGAGGGGGAGCGCCATGCCTAGGGGAGAGAGAGCGCCGGGGGAAAGCGGGGGGAGGGGGGAAGGGGGAGGAAAGAGGGGGGGTCATTGGGCGGGGAGGTGGGTGGGGGGAGTGGAGGTAAGGAAGAACGAGGAAATGGAATGGTGGTGGTAGGTATACAAACGCAAGTGGCAGGACAAGTTAGGTCCACGGGAAGCCGTAGCGCGTCACATGCGCAAGGGAGGGTAATGTCAGGAAGTATAGGACGATCAATGCAGGTCCAAGTTTCAATTGCTTGAAACAACCGTGCGGAGCGCTGTCAGGAGCGCTATAAGGATGGCTGTAAGGAGGGATGTAGGAGGGCTGTCGGAAGGACGACAGGGAACGCAGAACTTTGAGACGTATCAAAGCACGACGGTACGAAACGCGCGCGCCGAGCCTTGAGCGACAAAGGAAAGGACGAGCGGAAATGCAGAAGACCGGTTAGCGACAGGGACAGGGATAGCGAAGACCGTATGCTTAGCCATGGTTGTGGGTCGCCGCAACAAGCATCAAGGTGCCGCCTCGAAGCTCGAGAGCGAAAGCTGAAAGGGTACCATCGATACGAGCGACGCTCTATGAGCACAAGACGACTGGCCCTTTACGCATCGTTTCAGCCGGCCTGAAACGTAGTTTGAGGCGCCTCGAAACTAGACTCCTTATGCATCGTTTCAGACGGCCCGAAACGTAATCTGGCAAAACTGAACTGAGCTGGACGGAATGATTTGAGCGACACGTCTGGTTTGAAACGTCTGGTATGATTTGAGCGACACGGGAAGCGGACGCACCGATGCCGGCGATGATGCACGACCACATGACGACCGGCTCCTTGAGCATCGCCTGCTTGATCTTCGTCCCGATCGCAGACATGACGGCGACTTGTATCGAATCTGATACAAGCGGATCGGACGTAGTCACCGCGCAGTCGGTTAGGGACGAGAGGAGAAGAGGCTCTATAAAGAGCGGAAGAAGCTCGGCGCGCGGCGGTGGCAGCGGAGGCGGCAGCTGAGATGGCGATGGGGTGGTGAAAATGGACGGGTAGGATTGATGGAGGAGAGGGAAGGTGCGGGTGGAGATGATTCTGGGTGGTCCAAGGAGGTGGAGCAATGCGGCTGAGGGGGTGGAGCATGGTAGCGGGTTCGCCTATCGTTTAGTAACAACGGTTATCGAAATCGGTTTTTCCCGTGGCGACGCTCGCTGGAACTGCAAACCACTTTCCCGTATTAGGGGAAGAGGGGGTAGCGAGAACAGGGGACAGGACGAGTGGTGGTGAAAAAGGGGTGGCGATATTTTGGAACTGAAGTTACTATGTAGCATGTCATCTTTAAGTTCGCAAATGCAACTTGTTACCCCCGTACAGGACAACTCGAGTCTGGGTTTTGTCCACACAGTTTCCTTCGTAATTCAGGCACATATTCCTTATCGAAAATACACCAATTATCCACACGCCAGTTATATGGAATTGAAGAGCGGCTCTGGAGGGTTCAAATATATTTGACAGGGTTACAATGCGGTACCAAGCAGACTGATGACACATGATCCTCAAAGCACATCTATGATGGAAGTCTACTGTTTCACCAGCACTGTAGCGTTTGCGTCAACGCTGCTACCCAGCCCATGCGGTAAACAGACGTAGGTGTTGACGTCGACGCACAGCTGAAATCAGGAGTAAAAATGGCGAAGGCACGCCCGCGAATCTCGGGGCTGTATATCTACCCAATAAAGTCGTGCGGGGGTATCGCAGTTGACTCAGCTGCAGTAACTGCGACAGGTATGCAACAGGATTGGCGACGTGAACCGTAGTATTTTCCCGAGAATGGGTCTTCTGTTGATCCCATTCTCTTCTCACCATCCCCCCTTCGCCCGCTCTCTCCGCCCCGCCTCCTCCTTAACCAACCATCCACCCTTTATCTAAACCCTCACCGCTCCTGCGTTTCCCGAGTTCCTGTTCTCCTCTCCCCGTCTCCGCTTTCCCCCGTTACCACCACCGCACAACAATACCACCACCGCTCCCCGTTTCCCCGCACCTGCAGTCCTGCCGTGAGGCCTCTTTTGAGGCGCCTCAAAAACCGCCTCGTTCTTACTTCCCCCTCCCCACCCTCAACACCCCTCCCCGCCCCCACCCCCATTTTGAGACGTCTCATAACCAGACCACCCCCTCCCCCCCCTCGCTCCCCCCACCCCCCATACCACCCACACCTGCAGGCCTGCAGTGGGACCGGCAATGGATGGTGGTGGGTGCTCCCCCCTCTTCCTCCGCTTCCTCCACCTCCTCCCATTCCGCTTCCGCATCCGCGTCCTCTCCCCCTCTGCGCTTCATCACGCAGCGCCAGTGCGCGCGCATGGCGCTCATCCGCACCTCGCTTCCGCCTGAGGCGCTGCTTCCGCCACACACATGGGCGCACACTCTGCCCCCTGACGCGTGCCTCTGTGCGTGAGAGATAGGGGAGGGGGTAGGGGGTGCAGAGAGTGTGTGTGAGTGAGAGGGGAAGGAAGGCCGCCATGTTGTTGCAGGTGGGCTTTAAGAAGTCTAAAAAAACACCTGCAAACTAAAAGGTGTCTTCCCCCTTCCCCCTTCCCCCTTCCCCCTTCCCCCTTCCCCCTTCCCCCTTCCCCCTTCCCCCTTCCCCCTTCCCCCTTCCCCCTTCCCCCTTCCCCCTTCCCCCTTCCCCCTTCCCCCTTCCCCCTTCCCCCTTCCCCCTTCCCCCTTCCCCCTTCCCCCTTCCCCCTTCCCCCTTCCCCCTTCCCCCTTCCCCCTTCCCCCTTCCCCCTTCCCCCTTCCCCCTTCCCCCTTCCCCCTTCCCCCTTCCCCCTTCCCCTTCCCCCTTCCCCCCCTTCCCCCTCCCCCCTGGCAGCCATAACGGCCCCTGATCACCCGCCCCTGCACGTCCCCCTCGCCCTCTCCTGGTACCACCAGGCGAGGGGGGCGGAGAGCACACGAGCAGAGGGGGGAGCAGCCAGCGGGGGAGGAACGGGGGGGGGAGGAGGCGGAGGGGGTGGAGGTGACGGGGGAGGAGAGTGGGAGAGTGGGGGGAGGGGGGTGGCGGTGACGGTGTGGGGGTGGACGGGGAGCGCGTTGGATGCAGGGGAGGATGCAGCGCACTGGTTCTCCTCCGTCATGGGCAGACCCGTGCGCCTCGTTCGCTTCGACACCGGTGGGTGGATGCGGGAGGGGGTGGGTGGGTGGGTGGGTGGAGGGTGGGTGAGTGGAACATGCACACGTGCTTTTGCAGGGGGGGTGTGGAGCTTCAGCGCTGGTGTGGGATCGGTACTGGCAGGTCTCGCACAGTCAGGTTTGGTGTAGTTCGGTAGGGAGACAGCATGGGAGACAGCCTGGGAGACAACATGGGAGATAACCTGGGAGAGATGGAAGAAGGGAAACAGCTGTCTTTTGTGTGAGCCATTGCTTGCCAGTGAGTCTCTGGCAGCAGCTCTCAAGTTCTCTCCCAACTCTCTTGTGGGGTTTTAAACCTCTGTGCTTTTCCCCTCCTCTGCCGCCCTGCCAGTCCTCTACTGCTATACATTCAATGCCTCCATCCTTCCCCCCCATCGCCCCCACACAACACGTCAGCCCATGTGGTGCGGGCTACCAACGCTGACTTTGCAGACGGCTTCCAGACGTCCTTTGCGGATGGCTACCCCATGCTGCTCCTCTCCCAGGTGCCCGCACCTCACCGCACCCCACCTTATCATTCCTGTGCTGCTCGCTACCACAACAAGCCTATTCAGAACGAATCTGTTGTCAACCTAGCATGTGTTGAGTCGGCTCAACATGTGCTGGAGGCACCTGTTGAGTCAACGTGAATAGGCATAGACACCATTCTTCTGTCTGGCATCCACACACGAGCTGACTGCAGGAGGGGAGAAGTGGGTGCTCCCCCTCAGACTCTCCCATCACGCGCTCCCTCGCCATCTCCTGCCTTCCATATCCTTTCCCACATTTTCCTTGTCCTTGCGCTAACCAAATCCCTGTTACCAACCCCTGCAATCTCCTCCCCCTTCCGAACCCCCCTTTGTGTCTACCTCAGCCGTCGCTCTCATCGCTCAACGCCCGCCTCTCCGATTCTATTCCCATGAACCGATTTCGACCCAAGTACGACTCGATTCGCATGCCTTGCCTCGTTCTCTTTCTTGTTGGCGCACCTCAACCTATAGACTCCTCACATGCGGGACATACCATGGAATCAGTCCGTGGTATTATTCTTGTTTCCATGGGTTGATTTCGACCCAAGCACGACCTGCCTGCCTTGCCTCTTCTCTGCCACGTGCTGCCTTCGTGCTGCCATTCTCTGCCAGTGTGTATGCAATTCCTCTCATTTCTCTCTCTTCCTGTGCTCTGTGTCATCTCCCCACCATCCTGCCCCCATCCCACCTCATCCTGCCCCCATCCCACCTCATCCTGCCCCCATCCCACCTCATCCTGCCCCCATCACGCCATGATCGCATGGCAGCATCGTGGTGGAGGGGTGTGAGCCCTTTGACGAGGACACGCGGCGCAGCTTCTCAGTAGCACGCAGCAGCAACGCAGCAGCCAAGGAGGATGACCGTGGGTCTGGGTCTGGGTGTGAAAGCTCTGGTGCTGCCTCGGCTGGTGTGTTTCGCGGAGTGAAGCCGTGCTCGAGATGCAAGGTGAGTACACACACACACACACACGTGCAATGCATGTCAGTGGTTTCATTCTGCTGCCTGCAATGTTTGTGGAGAGTGATGCAGTGTCACGAGTGCTGCAACATCAGGATTGGTGCAATGTCTCAACCCTTGCCCACTGCCTCCCTCCGTGCATTTACCTCCCCCATTGCTCCCCATTGCTCGCCTCATCGCAACCCGTCACTGCACTGCCACTGTGTCAGATCACTACAATCGACCAGCTCACAGCTGAATCCGGCAAGGAACCTCTTCAGGTACCATTCCGCCCCTTTGATCATGTGTTGGTATCGCTGTGATAGTGGAGACTGTGGCGAGCAAGGGTTCCTTATGCCTTTCATTGTTCATCCAATTTACATTTACTCAAAGTCTTATGGATTGGTTTGCAAAGGTAAGCTGAAATAACCCTTGCAAGCCAGCTCTTTTTTCCTTGGTAGCTTCATTTGTTTGTGATCACCATCTTGTGTTATTCTCTTCTTCTGCATCTCCATCTGCACTGTGCTATTCAATTCTCCCTTGTCCCTCCCCCCTGTCAGACCCTCCTGAAGTTTCGACGAGGAAAAGACCTGGGCCTTCCAACAAGCTTGCAAGACGTTTTTTTTGGAATGAATGTCGTTTTCCAACCTTCATGCACTTCAGACCCTGTTCCGAAGCAACTCTCCCTCACGGAGCTATCAATCGGCGATGAAATTAATGTACTGGCTAAGGACCCTCAGCTTGCAACATTGTATAGCGCCTGAGGCTCTGTTCAAGTGAACTCTTTTCAATGTGTTACGAATAGTGATTATTGAAACACTATTGTACACTCCTCACCGCAGCAATCGAAGCACGCACTACCGAGAATGAAGACGAACAGGCGGAAGTGACACGAAGAGTCACACGGTTACGAAAGCATCTGGACCGTCGGGCAGACAGCATCAGGCAGCAGCAGTGGCGAGGATTCTGCCCGAACAGTTTCGTAACTGTCTGGAGTCGCACGGCTAGGTCGATTCATATTCCCCTGTACTCTTACTTATATTCCTTGTACTGCATGTTTTTATTATCTCAAGCATTTACATTCACTCTGCTATTGAGGTCAAGGGCCCACCACCACTAGATTAGGAGTGTGCAAACCTTCCTGAGGTGATCCTGAGGTCGATCATCTTCTGATCGTAACACAATGTGGGTTCGTTTTGGTCAACATGACATGTGGGGAGGCTGTCTGTGTGTAAATAGGATATATGTATCAACAAGTATGAACACGCCACTTAAGAAAGGCCTCACATGATGCCCTGGATCGTGCTTTATGAAGAGGAAGTGAATGTACTCGCAAAGGTGAACGACAACTCTTGCATCAGCTGCGACTGTCGTATATCGTCGTCCTCGATATAGTAGTTTCCGTGGTCTGTTCTGGATGCACTCGTAACTCCGCAAGACCAAGATAATACAGTACCGGAGCTCGATCCAGTACTACTGTATCCAGGACCCAGTGCTGTACTGTAGTCGCAAGACCCGCAGGGCGCATTCGTATCCCGTGTCCGACATGAAGCCAGAAAAGAAGTTGAGGTTGGGAAGACCCGAAGGGACTCATGACACGAAGTCATTTGTCATCCGAAGGTTTGACCTGATGTATGACACGCGAGAAGAATCGAGCCTCAGATAGCTCTCCCGCCCACTTAGATAGTTTCCCCCCTGATGACGACTTGACGCCTTGGTTATGCCTTAGCGTTTCTCATCTTCGGGAATGCCATTTTATTCCTTGGGATTTGCAGGCCATGGAATCCGTGCGTCGCTGCTGCATCACGCAGGTCGCGTAGATAAGACAGTTTCTGAGTTCACCATTGACAGTTTCACGTAGCCTCGCTGATCGTGCCACCCCGGAGAGAGGAACTGTCCTCCTAGCTCTCCACGGCGGATGTGCTTCAGTTCAGAATCATCCACCGACCGCTCCGATCGCCTCACGTAAATTCTCTGCCACGTGGACACCCACATCCTGGAGGAGATGATTCCTAGGTCCTGCTCCCAGAACTAGCAATGTCTCGGTTCTTCCTCCTCTATCGTCTCGAGTCTGCTCTGGCTCCGACTTGCGATCCGCTTGCAGCTCACCGCATCGTCCCCATGAGCCGATTGCTCCAGTAGTACTAGCCGAAAAGACCCGTCCCGCAACAATAACGCAACCATTTCAAGCAGATCATCTGTCCGCTCTGTCCTCGCGAACCAGCTTCGTTTAGTGGGTTCCTGAAGGAGTGGCCGAGGCGGCCATGGCGTCGAAAGCGGTGTCGTCAACGCTGTCGCGCGAGTCAGCAGGTGCGTAGTGCGACGCCGTCGTTCGACTGTCGCTCAGGGATTGCTCAACGGTCGCTTGACAATTGCTCAACTCACCCCATACTCTTTTCCACGCCTGGGAGAACGCATGTGCAGCACCCAAGAAGCAAGCTTCGAGTTGGTCTCTCGTAGCTTCTTTTAGCCTTCTGAGAGCCTTTGCCTGCAATTACCGTATTTTTCCTTCCATCATTCTTTCCCTTCTACCATTCTACCCCTTGGTCCCTGTCAACCCTCCCGCGGTCCTCCGCTATCTCATTTATTCTTTCTCCCTCTATCCTTGCGCGACTACCGCTTCCTTCCTTCCGCTTCTCTTCCCCCCCACCCCGCAGACTCCTTTTGGGACGACGATGACGACGTGCCAGCGCATCGCACGGGCGCCTACGACGTCGAATCCGCGCATCTCGCAAGATCCGCCGGACCTGACGGACGGTCAGGATTAGCCGACAGCCGCGATGGCGAGCTCGACTCCCTCATGCCCGCAGCGGGCTCCCGCTCCGCGCACCTCGGCGCAGCACGCGCGGAAAACGGCTTGCGCGGGGACGACTATCTGCACGGCGCGGGCGGGCGCGGTGGAGGCGCGGGTCATGGCGGGAGAGAAGCGGAGAAGCGGCTGCGCGAGCGCGAGATGGAGCGCGCGTACCGCGGATGGCCGTCATGCTGGCAGATCTGGGGCGAAATCCTAGACCAGATGGAGCTCGGCGCGCCTCTCTCCGCCACAAATCTGCTCAGCTTCGCGCGATTCCTCTTCTCTCTCGCGTTCCTCGGCCGCCGCAGCACCCTGCAGCTCGCAGCCGCCGCCGTTGCAATCACCTTCACTAACGTCACAGGATTCTCGCTCCTCATCGGCCTCGCCTCCGGGATAGAGCCCCTATGCGCGCAGGCGCACGGCGCGCAGCAGCCAAAAGCCATGGGGTTGCTGCTGCGCCGCTCGTCCCTCCTCCTCACGCTCGCGTCGATCCCCATAGCGATCATCTGGTTCAACTCCCAGAAACTGCTCCTCGCAGCGGGACAAGACGCCCCGTTAGTCTCTGAAGCCACGACCTTTATCCTCTGGCTTCTCCCCGACCTCTTTCTGTCCGCGCTAGTCATCCCGCTGCGGATTTTCCTTCGCGCGCAGGGTATAGTTCGTCCTGTGCTGGTCGGCGCCGCGCTGTCGCTCGCAGTGCACGTGCTGGCGACGGCGCTGCTGGTCGCAGGGCCTGTGAGGCTGGGCTGTGCTGGTGCCGCTGCTGCTGCATCGATCTCCGATCTCTTCCTCTGGCTGCTGCTGCTCTTCTATCTGCATTGCTTCACTGATGTACCCCGGAGGTGCGGCCTCCTCGTCCCCCTCTCCTTCTCCTCTTCGCCTCTCACCTCAGCAGCCGCGGCAGCAGAATCAGGGGTCGGTTCCCCCCGGTCCCCCCATTCCCCCCGGTCCCCCCGCCCTCTTACCTCCCCCACCTCCCCCGCCTCCCCTCTCTCCCCCACGCGCCATCTCTCCGCGCGCCCCTCCTCCCTGGCGCAATGGGGCCCGCTTATCCGCATGTCCCTCCCCGCCTGCGCCACCATCTGCCTCGAGTGGTGGTGCTACGAGCTCTGCATGCTCCTCTCAGGCCTCCTCCCAGACGCCACGACATCAGTTGCCGCCCTTGCCATCCTCTTCAACCTAGATTCGATTCTCTACTCTCTCACTGCCGGCCTGGCTGCCGCAGCAGGCACCAGAGCAGGGAACCTCCTAGGCTCGGCATTCCCGATCCTGGCGCGGAACGCGGCACTAGTTGCCCTGGGCTGTTCTTTAATGCTGGGTATTACCCAGCTAGCTGTTCTCTGGGCGGCTAGGGAGGCGTTAGGCCACATGTTCACCTCAGATGCGGCTGTGCTTGAAGCTGTCACTGCGCTGCTGCCGATTCTAGGGCTTCTTGAGGTTTTCAATTCGGTGCAGACGGTCATGACAGGGTTGCTGAGGGGTTGTGGGCGGCCGGACGTGGGAATGTATGTCAATCTGGGAGCGTTTTATGTCCTCGGTTTGCCGCTGGGCCTTGGGCTGTGCTTTCTGGCAGATCTAGGGTTGCTGGGGCTGGTACTGGGGCTGCTTGGAGCAGTTGTTACTTGTAGTTTCTTCACCGTTTCTGCTGTACTGTCCACTGATTGGGGTGCTGAGGCATCAAAAGCGACGGCCAGGATTGGCCCCCTGCCTGCTGCTGCTATTGCTGCTGCGTTGTCACCACGAGGAGGGGGGTTGGGGACGGCGGAGGACGGGAGGGGACGGCATTGGAGAGGGAAGGTGGAGGAGGGGAGGTATGGGGTGCGTGAGGAGGAAGAGGAGGAGAGGGATGTGGTTGGTGAAAGGGAACAGGAAATGGCAGCACTGACAGGATCCAGGGCTTTATGTGATGACCAAGGACTATGAGAGGCTGTGGAATGCAAGTCCTACATCGAAGATTCACTTGCTGTGAGTGGTACTACATCTATGTGAGGGGATTGTTGCATGCCAACACAGGTGTGTGGCATGGTTATGAGGGGTTCATTGTGGTGTGTAAGCATAGGTACTGTCAGCTTGGGTGGACGTGCTTGTTTGGTTTTTTTATTTTATTTTTATTGAGGTGAATGAAGGGTGAGTTTCTGTCAGCAAGATATGCATGCCTTTCGTTTCCCTCTCCTTGTACCTCCTGTCTTCCTGATTCGTTTCCAGCTAATTGTTTTCCTTGCCGTGCATTCCCTTACATCTAACACTTTCTCCCTCCACACAGACACACACATGCGCACGCACGCGCGCGCACACACACACACGCGCACACACACACGCACGCACACACACACACACACACACACGTGTGCGCACACACACACTGCACAACCGTCTACGTAGGCATGACTCCTTATAGTGTCTCTTTGATTCCCCCATTTTATCCTCCTTCCCCCTCCTTCCCCTCACAGGATATAAACCAACAGTTCACTGCAAACCGTAACGGTTGTGCTATGGAGGGAACGAAGTGTAGATTGCAGTTCGGAGCTGGAAACCAGCTGGTTTGTGCACTCAAATAAAACTCGATATTGGCTTCTTCACTGCCCAGACTAACCAATTTTGTTTGGTAAAATGGTGGTGACGTTCTTCCACTATTCATGATTCTACACTTGTAATGTCATACACCATATTCAATAACGTTCTGGTGGCCTCAATATTGAGTAGGAATGATCACAAGGCGTCCTGGTTTATCAAACCTGTCGTTTGGTAAATCCTTCATAACATCAAGTTTTGTTTCAAGCAAGTTGTTGGTAGATACAGCTAGTTCAGAGTCACCACCATTTTACCACCCTAAAAATCACTGCAGCGGCACCCTAAAACACTGCCACCCAATTGTATCCATGACTGAATGCGCACTAAATATCATAGCATCAAGCTACAGATAGTGTACCGGATGATCTATCAAAGACAAACTGCGTTACACACACCTCGTCATTCGCCATCACACTTGCCTTCTCACCTCACACCTACTCCTGCCTTCGTCAACTACAGGATTCCTTACCCTTGCTGGGAGGGAGGGAGGGAGGGAGGGATGGAGGAGGGAGGGAGGGATGGAGGAGGGAGGGAGGACAAATAGACGGAAAGAGGAGGGATCGAGGGAGGGAGACGAGGGGGAGCGAGAGAGGGAGGGGTGGAGGGAATGAGGGCAAGAGAGACAGTTGGGGGGGGAGAGAGAGAGAGTGAGAAAGGGGGAGGGCAGGGAGGGTCGTCTCCCTTAGTCACCCCTCCCCTCCCCGCCATCCACACTCACTCCCTATCGCTACCATACCTATCCCTATCCTCATACCTCCCCCTCCCACCCCCCTCCCGTCGCCCAACAGGACTCAAAGAAGCTCGCCTCCCCCCCACCCCCCTCCGCACATACCCCGCCCCATCCTCCTCCCCTCCTCCTCCTCCTCCTCCTCCTCTGCCCTGACTTTGTCCGTCGGTCCCGTATGTCCTGTCCGCCCCATCCATCCCATCTATCTTATCTCCATAGGCCATTGGCTTGCGGGTTCCCACGGGGGACACGCTTCCTCTCCTCCTAGCTCCCCCTCCTCCTCCCCTGTACCGATCTCCGTCGTCCTCGTCGTCATATATGCCCCTCTCTCCCCCTCTTCCTGCTCTCTCTCGCTCGCCTTCCCGTCCTCTGTACCCTCCTCCTCCTCCACCTCCTCCTCCTCTTGAGTAATCGTCCCCATAATCATCGTAGCGGTTGTTGTTACCACCGTAACCACCACCACCACCACCACCAGAGCCAGCAGATTCTATAGACCCTCCTGTGTAAGAACGGCTATAGCCCCCATCCCCAGCATCCTTATCCCCCCGACCACCACCACCACGAGAATACCCATCTTCATCCCCATAATCCCCCCCTCCTCCGCCCGCCCTCCCCCTCTCCTGCCCTCTCTCTCTCTGCTCCCCTGTGAAACTCCTCAACAAGTGCGAATCTGCACCGCCCCGCCGCTCCCTCTCACCGCCTCCCACTCCTCCGTAACCTCCCCTCACCCCTCCCCCTCCGTACCCACCATAGCCGCCCCCCTGGCCTATCGCAGCCTCTGCTTCCTCCCTCAACTGCCTCCTCCTCTCACTCCTCTCTATAGATTCCATACTCGCTCTCCGCACTAAGGGAGGTACCGGCATCGCACCACCCCCACCCCCACCGCCACCACCAGTACGGTATCCTGATAGGGACTGCTGCAGGAGCTCTGCTCGCATCTGCTCTCGCTGCAACAGGTACGAGCTACCTGCATTCCCCCCTCCTGCTCCCCCTGCTCCTCCTCCCGCTCCCATGCCCCCGTATTCCCCACGGGTGTTGCTGTTGCGACCACCAGCACCACCAGCAGCAGCAGAGCCTTCGTTAGCCCACTTAGGTCTTGCCCATGCGCCTCCCTTTGCCTGCTGCTTCTGTGACGCCTCCTGTAGGGATGAGAGGATGGGGGAACGAGAGGAAGAAAGGAAGAAAGGTTGAGCGCGGGAGGGGGAGGAGGGGAGAGAGCTGCGGGGGCTGGTAGCAGCATCGCCAGAAGGAGACTTTTGAGTCAACTCAGAAGGCACCTCGGGAGGGGGGGAGAGAGCTCCTGGGGCTGGTTAGCAGCAGTGCCAGAAGGACGAGCAAGGGAAGCAGCTCGTGTTGGGCTGTGTGGGAGCTTCAGTAATTGCTTGGCTGCTTGGCTGCTTGGCTGGTTGGCTGCTTGGCTCTTTAAGTGGTTTTGTACTGTTTGTGTCTTAAGATGTTGAACATTTGAACTAGTGATCTGGAGGTTGGGCAAAAAACACAGGTGCATGGGCGCATGAGTGCATGCATATGTAGTTGAATGCATGTATATGTAATTGAGTGCATGTATATGTAATTGAGTGCATGTATATGTAATTGACTGCATGTATATGTAATTGAGTGCATGTATATGTAATTGAGTGCAGGTATATGTAACTGAGTGCATGTATAATTGAGTGCATGTATATGTAATCGAGTGCATGTATATGTAATTGAGTGCATGTATATGTAATTGAGTGCATCTATATGTAATTCAGTGCATGTATATGTAAAGGAGTGCATGTATACGTGTAACTGAGTGCATGCCCGCGCATTGACAGCACAGCAGCGTGCATGCACTCACCATGCGCTGCCTCTCCGTCTGCCCTGTCAGAGCCCGTTGGCAGCAAGGCAGCACAGCACGGACTGCATGAGGGCTCATGACTGCATGTGCGTCTACTTGAGTGCATGCCAACACATCACAGCACAGCACAGCACAGCACGCACTCAACATGCGCTGCCTCTCCGTCTGCCCTGTCAGCGCCCGTTGCAGCTCCATCTCACTTCCGTCTCAAACGCTCAAGAACCAACTAGTTCTACTCCATGCATCACAGAACACATAGCGCGCACTCACCATGCGCTAACTTTTGAGTCGACTCAAAAGTCAACTCAGACCACACAGCACGCACTCACCATGCGTTGCCTCTCTGTCTGCCCCGTCAGCGCCCGTTGCAGCTCCATCTCCTCTGTCTCAAACGCTTCCGCTCTCCTCCTCTCCCTCCCCCCTCCCCCTCCGCCCACACCTCCCCCCCCCACTCCGCCTGCCCCACCCCCAATGTCATCCAAGTCTTTCGTATCAAACCGCCTCCGGTAGTCAACCTCAGTGCTTGACCGGTGATAATCCATTTCCTCCTCTCTTCCCTCTCCCCTCCCTCTATAAGGCGACCTGTTCCCTCTATAAGGTGAACCGTCCCCTCTATAAGGCGACCCCCCTCCCCTGTACGGCGACCTCCCTCCCCTATACGGGGACGTCCCTCCCCCGTCCCTTCCCCCTCCCGCTCCCCCTCCCGCTCCCCCTCCCCCACGGTATGGTGACCCTCCCCCTCTGTACGGTGATCCCCCCCTTGCTTCTCCTCGTGCTCGTGGCGACCTCGACTCGTCCTCCCCTTTCCCCCCTCCCCCCCACCCCACGAGCTCCTCTCCCCCTCTTCCCCGCGGGGAAACCCCTCCGCCCATCCCTCCGCCCATTCCCCCCGCGCCTCCCCCCCGAAACCCCCCGCTGCTCCGCGGCCTCCCTTCCCCCCCACTGGCGGGGCGGCCGTGGGGGGACCTGGGGGGAAGAGTAGGCGCTCCCCCTCCTCCCCCCCCAGCCGTTCCCCGCCCCTTCACAAGCTTCCCTCTCCCCCACTCCCCCTCCTCGCCCTCCGTTCCGCTCCCTTCATCCCCCCTCTCCCGTCCCCCCTCATCCCCACTCTTCAGCTCTTCATACTCATCCTCCTGAAATTCCCCTTCCTCTCTTCGCCCCTCATTCTCCCACCTTTTGTCACCACCACCACCACCAGCGCTGCCAGCAGCAGCAGCACCACCCTTCCCTGGGCTCTTCTCCTCCTCCTTCCCTCGATCCTGCTGCTCCTGCTCCCTCTCTGCGCTCCTCACTCCAGCCATGAAGTTCTTTCTAAAGCCCTTCTCGCCGTTGCTCCTCTCTCCGCCCCCTTCTGCTCCTCCTGTCCCTCCCTCCCCTGCACCTCCTCCTCCCCTCCCCCCCCGCCCCCTCCTGCCCTCCTCCTCCCTCATCTCCCCCACCGTCACCACTCTCAACCCCTCTTTTACCACTCAGTTCATCCGCATTACCAACCTCTTTCCCCTCTCTCCCTTCTTTCCCTTCTTTCCCCTCCCTCCCCTCCATCCCCTGCTTCCCACTCTGCACTTGCTCCACCTTCTTCCCAAACCCGCCCTCGCCTGAAGCAGCGGCAGCAGCAGCAACAATGGCAGCAGCAGCAGCGCCAGCAGTAGCAGACCGAGGCACGGCACTCCGCACGTTCACCCCAGGCGTTGCATTCCCTGAATTTCCTACAGTCACTGCACTCATCCCACTCATTGACTTGGGAATAATACCAGACGCATTCAGGCCGTGAGAGAAGCTAAAGCTGTTGCCGGTTTGCGCTTGAGAGATACTGGCGTTGTTAGCCTCCTCCTCTTGCTTTCCGCCCTGCCCTTCCCCTTTCCCTTGACTCTGCCCGCTTCCCTTTGCCTCCACTGCGGCTCCGGGCCCGTTTTCCCCTTTCGAAACTCTATTATTCCCCCCTTCTGCCCCTCCCCCCACACCCCCCCCTGCCCCCCCGCCTGCTGCGCCTCCTGCGGCTTTCCCCGCGCCCCGTCCCGCGGCCTTAGCCGCGGCGGCAGCAGCCGCGCGCCTGGCAGCCGCGGAGAGCACGGGGGCGGCGGGCGGGATTCCCGGCGCACCCGCCAATCCGCCTCCTGCTCCGGCGGCGTCCGCCGCTCCTGCAGCAGCGGCGGCGCCAGCGCCGGCTCCGCCACTTGCGCCCGCCCCCGCCGCTTTTCCCCCCCGCCCCCCCGCAGCCTTGCCCCCGGCCCCCCCAGTACCAGGGCGCAGCTTCGACGTCGCGCCTGCCCCCGGCGCGCCTGGCGCGCCCGCTACCCCCGCTGCTCCCTCCGCTGCTCCTCCCGCTGCGCCCGCCGCTCCTGCTGCCGGCTTGTTAGCTTGCGCCGACGGCGCAGTGGACGGGCGGCTGATCTCCATCGGCGGAGCGGCTTCCGTGCTCTTAGAGCGCGCAAGCAGGAACGGCGAGCGCGACCGCGCAGCCTCGTCCGCGCCCGCCTCCCCGTCAGCCATCCCGCTGCCCTTCCGCGTGAGCAGCCTGCCGCCTTTCTTCCCCGCCTTGCCCTTGCCGTCCTTTGCGGACGAGTCGTCCGTGACCACACGATCGACCATCGCGAAGAAAGCTGGACGGTTCAGATGCTTCCGCGTCCGCAGCTTCTCCAGCATATCAACGGTCTCAACCGTAGACAACGTCTCCCATACCGAATCATTCGTCTCCCCCGCTGCGCCTCCCCCTGCTGCTGCGCCTCCCCCCGGCGCGCCCCTCCCCGCCGCTCCCCCTCTTCCCCTCCCCCTCCCCGCGCCTGCTCCCCCGGCTCCCCCTTTCCCACGCGCCTTGTCCGCCTCCGCCACTTTTTCCTCCCAATCGGGGTCACTGAGAAAGATACTCGCGACGCCGCCGCCATCGCTGACGTATTTCGCCGTGTAAGGCGCCCAGAACGCTTCTATAGTCTTCATCTTCGGCGGCCGCGAGCGCGGGAGCCACGGCTCGGGCTTCGGAAGCGCGTGGAACATGGCCTGCCATGCCACGTGGCACGTGCGTATGCACGCCTGCACCTGATCGCGCCCCTTGGCGCGCTCGTTAAACCCGAACGCCTTCCCCGCGTCGCCTTTCTCCGTACAATCGCACAGCCGCAGCCACTCCCTAATCTCCTCCAGCACGCCGGGTAACTTTCTGCTGACGTCAGCCACGTCGTTCAGCTCTTTCGCCAACGGGTCGTCCGTCGCCACGGCGACGATCTTCCACGCGATATTCGCTCCCTGGCTAATCGCCGCGAAAGCCGCGAGCGGCTTGACCGAATAAACCTCCCCCGTCCGCGCCGTGCGCGATCCCAGCTCGATCACCTGCAGCGGCCGCCCGTCGAAGCGCATCCCGCCCAGATCCTCATTCGGCGCCGCGGGATCCGCCCACGTCTGCGTGAAAATCCCCAGGTTCCACTGGCAATTCTCCGCGTAATGCGCGGGGCGGCCGTTGCGCTTCAGCAGCCGAACGGGATTAAAATTCTCGTCGTCCGCAACCTCGAAATTGGCCCAGATACCGCGCGGCGTCACGCACAGAAACGACAAGCCCTGCTCGAACGTGCAGTTCTCCTGCACGCCCGGCGGCGGGGGGATCGCGCTCGGCGCCTTGGGATCCGCGGCGGGATACGCGGAGAGGAAGAGAGGGATTTCGTGCCAGGGGGAGAAGGCGCGGTATTGGCTGTCGAGGAAGAGGAGGCGGTAGAGGAGGGTTCCCGGGGCGCCGAACTCGAGCGTGGTCCACCAGGGAATAATGGCACCACTGCTCGTTGTCGTCATGGCGGCGTGCGCGTGTGAGAGTGAGAGTGGGAGTGAGAGAGTGGGAGTGAGAGAATGAGAGTGAGAGAGTGGGAGTGCGAGAGTGGGAGTGGGTTTGAGTGCGCAGTAGGAATTACTGACGACAACCTTTTCCACGAGTGACTATTGAGCTTCTCGAGTCGACTTGCAGTAGGAATTACTGACGCGTCCTGCTACGACTAGCGACGAAGCAACGCGCGATTATGGGAGGGCGGCGCGGCTGTCCTGTAACGAAAAGGCGTAATTCGAACTACTTATACTATCTGGTTAGCAAAACTGGCGACTCCAGACGACGGAAACGGTTGGCAAACCTGAGCTAAGCCAGCGATTACCGGCGGAATTACTGGTCTCGCACATTGTTACAGACTAGGCTTTGGCAACACGAGGATAGTGAAAGTTGGGGAATGCAACATGGTGGATGGTTAATTACTACATGTCACACCACAAGCCAGGAATCGCGACGTCTCTACGCGGCGGCGCCATAACCGAGTCTCCAAGCCCCTAGCAACAGTCTATCCTGAGACCGATAAGACGCTAACGTAAGCTCCTGGCTAGTGACGAAAAAAATAGTCCCAGAATGCGGCTAGAGTCAGGGTGAGAAGTGGAACGGTCTGGAGCGGGGCTTGTCGTGAGTTGGAGCAGCAATGCAGCGGAGCGGACCGAGCGGGACAAAGCAAGGTGGAGCGGTTTGGGCAGGCTGAATGCATGATGGTATGCTACACTACACCACACCATAGTACTGCCTGCTAGGAGTGGGGTGCGGCTGGGTGGCATGGCGGTCAGTGGAAGAAAATGCGGTGGCGGGCGAGTGTGGGAGGGGGGAGGGAGAGGAATCCGGGCCTGTGCATGGGTCGGCGATACGGATAATGTTTACTGAAACTTCCCGTATCTGGTCTTTTAAATTCTAAAACAGTTTCTTAAAATCCAGTACCTACACTGCTTAGAGCGATCCCGTAAAGTGCTGGAACGCGAGTTCTGTTCAAGTAAGGTAAGGAGGGAGGGCTCCCGACTTTTGTTGAGGTTAAACAAACTTGTGGACCCGGCAAACGGTCAGCGGACGTGGCAGCGGTTAGCTTGACAAATAGGTTCGTGGCACCTCATCCCCACTTTGCCGTACACTCCTGGCAACACGTCGGTGTTGAGCTATGAGGCCTCAGCGTCGTGCTTTCCCGCCATTTTTTTCCTTCCGCCACAGGTCTGGACTACTGTTGTTGAGGATGTGCAAGGCAAACTACTGCCGCAGAGGGCTCGTAACATTATAAGTTCTAATAAAAATGTTACACCTTTCATCCATATCATCTGTTTCTATTTCACCATATCATATATATTGGTACCGTACATATAGCGGACTTTGCAGACTCCAAGAAGGAACCTTTTCCGATGCTGCTTATCATCTGACCATGCGTGAATATGCTGTACACCAATGTAGATGATCAGCAAACTATTTACCAATGCCACGCCTTGGAGTGTTATCATAGCGCCTACGAACATGCCGTATGCCATACATGCTACCCTGAACAATCACTCTTTTACGGTACTAGCTAATGGATGGTTCCTGCTATATACGATAAATACATACAGCATCCACACTACCCTACAGCGCGAGCTGCACTCCAATCCCAACACAACAAAAGATGTGCACACTACCACGACTACAAAAAGTATTCGGATCCCTAGATACTGTCTCCAAACAAGGACAACGAAAAGGGTTCAGCAAAAAATTGAGTGTTTGCGTGGCTCTTGAATCACATGTATAAGCTTTCAGCGAATCAGGGAGCTGCTGCACACACTGCCTGCTGCTGTTGCATGCCTGGCGTTAGTGAGCAGCAGAGGGGAACGAGGCAGAGTGGGCTGCTTGCTGGACCTGCCATTGTGAGCAGTGAAGAACGGGAGAGAGGGAGAGGCCATTGTGAGGAGAGGAGAACGGGAGTGAGGGAGAGGAGTGGAGAACGGGAGTGAGGGAGAGGCCATTGTGAGGATTGGAGAACGAGAGTGAGGGAGAGGGCACGAGTAGAGGGAGAGGAGGTACGAATGACACAACTCGAGCCAAGCAGGGTGCACGTGGCAAGTACACAGACCACACAAGAGCAATCCACTGCTCACAGCATCTCAGGTTGACAAAACTTCCAAGGGCTTACACAAGTGCATGAATGGTTCAGAAGAGATGTTCTCGGATTTCCAGCATGCGTGTGCCTCACCAGACCACCAAGGACCACTCATAATACCGTGCGACATTAAACAATTGCCTAGGTAGAGCACGGGTCGAGCTCTGTGCACCACCTCGTGACAATCCTCAAGAGTGGTTCGAGTGGCGCGAAACATACTGCTTATAGTGTCTCTTTTGAGAATTTTGAGAAAAGACGTGCTTTACCAGGAAGATAGGGCACACGCAGTACCTGCGAGGCTTGAAAGGGCGTCCAAAGTAGGGCATGAGGCGAGCCCTGTGCACCATCTGCTGCCGCAGCCTCCTCACCTCCTCCTCGTCCCTCTCCCTCCGCCTCTCCTCCTGCTCCCTCCTCGCCTGCTCCTCCTGCTGCTGCTTCAGTGCTACCTGGTCGATGCAATGAAGGGAGGATGGGCGGATGGGAGAGGGGCGGGCAGGGAGTACGCATTCAGCTTTTCCTGGAACAGAGGAGCGATTTATGCCTATCCTCACCGGCAGTCACCCTCACGTACACCCACCCTCAAATACACTCACACCTTAATACACCCCCTCTCACATTCACCCCCCCTCACCCTTCACCCCCCCTCACATACACCCGCACCCGTCCCTCACCTGCATGTCGTATGCGAGTCGCTCCACGGCACGCCTGTCTGTGTGCAGCAGCACCTCATCGGGGCACGTGAACTGGGGGGGACCCTTCAGGTACAGCTCTGCTTCCGGCATCACAAACCCATGCCCCCGCTGCTGCTGCTGCTGCTGCTGCTGCTGCTGCTGCTGCTGGTTTACCGAAGGTCCAGCAGCAGTGGCAGCAGGGGCAGCTGAAACCTCATCAGCATCAGCACCACCAGCGCCACTGCGTGTCACGTGCTCCTGCCTCTTCTCCTCCTCATTCACCCTCACACCCTGCTCACTCGCCCCACCACTGCTCCCATGGCTGCTACCAGAGTCAGCACCCATCATCAGAGTCCCAGACATGCTGCTGTTGCTGCTGCTGCTGCTCCTGCTGCTGGTACCATCCTGCGAGAGTGAACGAGCACACACTTGCTCCTGCTTCTGCTGCTGCTGCACCTGCTGCTCTTGCTCGATCTCTCCAGCTCCTCCTCCTCCTCCTCCTCCTCCTCCTGCTGCTACACTTGCTCCGCTAGAGGCAGTGGCAGCGGAGGCAGCGGAGGCAGCAGCGCCAGTAGCAGCAGGGAAGAGCTTGACCCGTTTCACAGGGGAAACCTCGTTGGCCTTGGCACTGCCAACGGCAGTAGCAGCAGTGGTGGTGTGCGGGCAGCGCACAGCAGGGCTGGCAGCAGCGACGGCGCCCACAGTGCTCACAGAAACAACATGCTGACTGCGCTGCTGCTGCTGCTGGGCGGAGCAGGGCGAAGCAGGTGTGGCTGAGCCGGGGAGGGACGCATGCACCTCTGTGCTCCCTGCTGGCGTGCTCACGTATACTGAAGTGCTCCAGCCCTGACGGCAGGAAGGGAAAGGAGAAGGAAGAGCGAGGGAGGAGATGTGAGAAAAACGCTACTGGTGCCTCTGTGCTCCCTGCTGGCGTTGCTCACGTCTACTGATTTGCACCAGCCCTGACAGTGGGACGGTGGGAAGGGAGAGCGAGGGAGGAGATAAGGATGGGAGGGATGGAGAGAAAGAGTGCGTTTGGGATGTTCCATATGTTACATTTCTCAACGAGACGGCACACCTTGGAGCAAGGGGCTTTTGGCCCGGGCCCGGGCCTGAGCAGCCATCTTAGGTTTGACACATCTCAAAACAGATCTAATACATGTGAGAATTCTCAAAAGGAGCGCGCACCTTGGGGCGGGAGGCGTGGGCTTGGGCCTGTGCAGTCATCTTAGCTTGACACGTCTCACAACAAATCTAGAACAGATGAGAATTCTCAGAAGGAGGGTGCACCTTGGAGCGGGAGGCGTGGGCTTGGGCCTGAGCAGTCATCTTATCCACAAGCGAGAGCTTGCGTGCTGCTGTGTGCTTGTACTCCTTGAAGCGCGATGTCACCCGCACTCGCAGCCTCCTCTCCCTGCACCCCCATCCCCATCATCGCCAGTGCACGCATGGGACAAGCGGAGTCAGATGATTTCTTAGTGGACTAAAAATCGCGCAGGACAAGCGCAGTCGGGCTTGCAGGCGGGCTTGTGGGCCAGTGCAAGGTTATGAGCACAAACACGGGCATGGGCACGGGCACGGGCACGGGCTATGCATGTGTACGCACCTTGACACAGCCCATTTAGGGGCGGCAGACATGACTGCCTGAGGGCTCCTCCTCCTGCTCCCCCCTGCCGCTCCCCTGCTGCTCCTCCTCCTACTGCCACTGCTGCTGTTGCCACTGCTGTTGCTGCGGGTAACTGTTATTACGCGCTGCTGTGTGCCTTCCTCCTCCTCCCCCTCTCCCTTCTCAACCACACTCTCCACCAGCACCTCTCCACCCTTTCCTCCTCCCCCCACCATCCCCTCAAAACCACCAAACCCCTCCGCACCCCTCTCTCCTCCACACCTCCCCTCTCTCCTCCCCGTCTTCCTCCCGGTCGTCTGACACACAGCAATGCAAGTCTTCTCCACAATACTACCACCGGGCGTGCAAGTATGAGTAGACGTCACCTCCACTGTCGTTGCCTCTGTGACTACGCCCCTTTCTTGAGGCGCCTCAGAACATGCCTTCTCCGCTATCCCCTCCCCAGGCATGCACGATTGAGTGGTCTGGGCCGACTGGGTAGGCTGGATACACTGAGTCACCTTTACAGTCACTCCCTCTGTAAGAACCCCCGCTTCCTTCCCCCCATCGCTGCGCTGCTTGCTCAACTGCCTGATGCTACGCTCGATGGAGGGTTGGACTTGCACGGGGGTGCCTGATACCACCGACAAGGCAGCGCCAGCAGCGCTTGGAGCAGCAGCACCTGTAGCAGCACCGGCTGTCTCAGCAGCAGCAGCTGTAGCAGCAGGGGGGCGACCAGCAGCACTGCTGCCACAGGAGCTTCGGGAATCAGACACGCCGGTAGCCCGGCCAGTGGTCCCAGCAAACGAGGCAGCATCAGCCGCTGCAGCAGCAGCAGCGGCAGCAGCGGCATCAGCAGCGGCAGCAGGGGGAGAGACGCGTTGAGGAGGAGAGGAAGCAGCACTATCCGCATCGGTGATCAGCACATCTGTTCTGCGCACAGGCGGGGCGGACTCAGCACCATCACCACCACCGTCAGCAGCAGCACCATCACCACAACCATCATACCCGTTGCAACCGTCATCAAGGTACGAGTCTAGGCCTAGTAGCGCGAGCAGGTCAATCTCCTCAATCCCGCTCACCTGCCCTATGTCTATACTTGCAGATATATCTCTCACCGCCCCCCTCTTTCCTCCACCTGCTCCTCCTGCTGCTGCAACTGCTGATGCCTCTGCAGCAGCACCAGCGGCTGTTGGAAGGGCCTGTGGGGTCTCTTGAACCCCCTGCTGCTGCTGCTGATGCTCCGGCGTTGGCTGAGAGGCCACTGTGACTCCTGCAGCGGTATTAGCGTCACCAGCACTCGCAGCAGCAGCTGTAGGGGCGAAGGCAGCAGGCGCAGCAGCAGGGACAGAAGCAACAGCAGGTGCAGCAGGTGCAGCCGGTGCAGCAGTAGCAGCAACACCTGCTGCTGCAGCAGCAGCGGAAGCAGCAACAGCAGTCGGCGCAACGGCAGCAACAGCAGCTGGTGCAGCGGCAGGAGCAGCAGCAGCAGCGGGGGCGCCTGCCCTAGCAGCACCACCCCCGCGACCAGCCACGCGCTGCAGCCCGCTACGGGCGCGCAGGAAGTTCCTCTGAGGCACCTTGCTCCGTGCTGCGAAGCTCTCATCATTCGCCGCACACTTGGGGTTGCGGCACCTCACCACTGCTCCTCCCACTCCCCCTCCTGCACCTCCTGCTGCTCCCCCTGTCACCCCAGCGTGGTCGGAATGCTGGTGCGTACCAGAACAGGTGTGTGGCACCACTGGTGCCGACTCTGCTGATGCCTGTGCTGGTGCGTGTGCCTTTGCCCGTGCTTCAGTCGTTGAAGAGTCTGGATCAACAGCAGCAGCAGTTTCACCAGGAGCTCTAGCAGCAGCAGCAGGAGGAGCCGCAGAAGCAGCAGAATTCCGTCCCGGCTCCTTCTTCCTCTCCACCTTCCCCTGCCTCTCCCCCTCCCTGCCCTTCCTCTCCTTTGCCCCCTGCATCACAGCCTTCTGAATGCTCAACGGCGCCACGGACCGTCGCCTCAGCTTCGCCCCAACGCCAACCCCCACTCCTGCCCCAATCCCTACTCCAAAGCCAATCCCACCTGCCACTCGCCCAGACACCACCTTCGCTGCAACAGTCTTCCCTGCCGCAGGCTTTCTCGCTGCAGCCTTTCCTGCCACAGCCGTTCTTCCATTGCTGCCGCCGGCTGTAGCAGTAGGGCCAGGTGCCGGCCGAGCAGCAGCAGCAGCAGCAGCAGCACTACCACCACCACCAGCGGTTCTCTGACTCTCCACCTCTCTCTTTTTCTGCTCACGCTCCCTCCTCTCCCTCTCTGCCTTCTCCCTGCGTTCCCTCAGCCTCGCACCCAAGTCACTCCCCCCAGTACTGCCCTGCGCCTCTTCCGCGCCCCCACTCCCCTTCTCCTTCCGCGGCAACCCCAGCCGTGACTGCACCTGAATCCCCCCTTGCTGCTTCGCTTCCGCTCCCCCTCCCGTCCCTGCCCTCACCCCCTTCCCTCCCGCACCATTTCCCTTGCTCGCCTGCAGCTTTCCCATCGCTCCACTCTCCGTCCCCCCCACCTTCCCCTCCCCGCCGTTCCCTCGCCCCTTCCCTTTCTCCTTCCCCACCTCGGCGCCTCTCTGTGACTTATCTAACAGCTCTTGGATCTCTGCCACATGCTGCTTCACCACCCCTACTGCACTCACGCCCGCTCCTTTCTCCCCGTCTTTCTCCTCTCCTTTCCCCTCTCCCTCCATCCTTGCACCTTCTCCCTCACGCGACGGACCCTCCTGCCTTCCTTTCTGCGACTCCCCCCCCTCTACCTTCTCCTTCTGCTCCTTCTTCCCTCCCTCGTCTTTCTCCCCTACGCCCAACGACCTCTGCACGCTGCTGCCCACCGACCTTGTCCGTGCGAGCAACCCTGTGCCGCTCCCAATTCCCACCCTCCACCTCCTCTCAGTCTCCACCCTGGGAGAACCAGCAACGCCGCTAGCAGCACCAGCAGCAGCAACACCGGTGCCAGCAGCAGCGGCCGCACCAGCACCTCTGCCAGCACCACCAGCAGCAGATTCAAACGCCAGCACTAACGGTCGAACCAGACGACTGTTGGCCACACCAGCTCCCCTCACTCCTCCCCCTCCTCCTCCTCCTGCTGCTCCTCCTCCCTCTCCCCATCTCTTCCTCTCAGAACCTCCTGCTCCCCTAGCGTAGCTTGGGCTCACCCCTCCTCCCCCTCCCCATCCCCTTCCCTCTCTCCCTCCTCCGCCTCCTCCGCCTCCTTCTCCTCCTCCTTCGACCGCCTTCACCACTGCTGCCACGGAACCAGGCCGTACCACCGAGCCAGGCTCACCGAGCCTGGACGCCAGGCCTGGAGGCGCCGAGCCTGGCGGCACGGGCAGCAGCGACGGACCAGCACCGCTTCTGCCAGCAGCAAGAGTCATGCCGAACCGAGTAGCAGACGGCGGGGTTACAGGCGGTGTGACCAAGTCAGCTTGACCAACGCTCGCTGCCTCGTTCTCCCTGACAACCGCAGCAGAATCACCAGCAGGAGAACCAGCAGCAGAAACAGCCGCAGCCGCAGCCGCAGCAGCAGCAGCAGAAGCAGCAACAGGGGAAGCCGGAGGAGCAGAGGAGGCGGCAGCAGTGCCGCTACCCCCTGGTACCGGTGACAGTGTCACAGCCTGCCACCTCCCAGAGCTCTTCTTGACATAGGCGGACGATGCAAGCCCTGTGATCTTCTGCCACAGGGACCGACCAGACGGCTTCGCAGGGGCAGAGGCAGGCGCGGGGGCAAGGGAGGGAGGGGCAACAGCAGGCGCAGAGATACGCGCAGAGACAGGCGCAGAGGCAAGGGCAGAGGCGGGGACAAGAGCAGGCAGGCTGCTGGGGATGCCACCGCCGTTGCTGCTGCCGATACCCTGACCTGCACCAAGGTTGGGGTTCGCAGCTCCTCCTGCTGCTGCTCCTGCTGCTGCCGCTTTGTTATGCTGATTATGGCGCCTGAAGACAGGAATCCCTGTCAGGCTGCTGCTGTTGCTGCTGCTGCTGCTGCTGGTGGTGCCGCCATTCTCGTTACTGCTGTTGTTGCCGCACGGCTCCTTATTCTCCCGCCCTCGCGAAGCGGACGAGGGGAAGGACGGCTTGACTGGCTTGGGCGCAGAATACGCATGGACATGTGTTGAAGCAGAGGCGGTAGAGGCAGCGATCGTATGCACCGTGTTGGTGCTGTCTGCTGCCACTGCAGGACGTTCAGCAGCAGGAGTAGCAGGAGTAGTAGGAGTGGCAGGAGTGGCAGGAGCAGCAGTTGCAGCCGCCGCAGGTGCAGGCGTGGCAGAAAGAGCAGCAGCAGGAGCAGGAGACGAAGCAGCATCTTCGTTACAAGCGGACCCGGTATCAGCTCCAGGAGCAGCCGCAGCAGCAACAGCAGCAGCAGCAGCAGCAGCAGCGGTGGCAGAGACAACCCCACCACTCGCCACTCCCGTGACAGCAGAAGCTCCAAAGAACGCCCCGCTTCCATCGCTGCTAGCACCACTCCCAGAGGCCGAAGCACCAGAGACAACGGGGGTGAGAGCAAAGGCGGTCGCAGCCAACAATCCTCCCCCTCCTCCTCCACCTCCTCCTCCTGCTACTGCTGTGCGTGCTGCAGCAACAGGGATGCCGCCAGGACTGGCCTCCACAGGGCTATGGCTCGGGGACGTGCGGAAGAGCGCGTTATTGCACACCATCATCACTCGCCCACCCGCCCGCTGCCCCGCGCCCGTTGCTGACGTGGAGCAGCTGCTGGCGCCAGGTGATGACACGTCAGACACGCGCAGAGACGAGGATGCACCCGTGAACTGCTGCTCACTCTGCAACCCTGGATACCTGAAACCTCCGGCTGATGCTGCTGGTGCTGCTCCCCCTGCTGCGGATGCTGCTGGTGCTGCTCCCCCTGCTGCGGATGCTGCTGGTGCTGCTGGCGCTGCTGCCGCAGCAGCACCCTTCCCAGTGGTCACAGGCGTCGCGAGTGCCCCACCTGCCGCTGCTGCTGCTGCTGCTGCTGCTGCTGCCCGTTCCGCTTCCGTTCCTCCTTGAGTCTTCGACCTTCCACCACCAACACCAGCAAAAGCAGGGGTTCCAGTAACAGCACGTGTTTTCTCCGCTGCATCTGTCACCATTCCTAGCTCCACTTTCCTCGCTCCGTCTCCCACGCACACCCTCGCGCTCGCCGTCGCAGTCGCCGTAGCCGTCGCTACAGGCGTCCGCGCGCCGTCATTCGCGGCGCCATTCGCGGACGGCGCCGCTTTCTGCGACGACTCGAAGATCGACGCGCTCGCTGTAGCCGTCGCCGTCGCCTGCACCGACCCCTTGGCGACGGCGGGCGACGACACCGTCGCCACCACGCGTCGCCCACCAGGCGACGACTGAATCGTCGCTTGCGCTTCCACCTTTCCGCCGCCTCCCCCTCCGCCTTCCCCTTCCGCCTCCTTCCAGATGGTCGCTTCCGCCTGTGCGCGTGCATTAGCAGCGGCGGGGGGGGCGGAGTCCTTGCGCGCGCTCGTCCCCTTCGCGTTCTTCTCGCCTTCTGCTTCCGCCTCCGCGCACTTGATTGCGCCCGCTGTTGCGCACGTCGGTTCCCCGTCCTCCCCTGTGCCCCTCTCTTCCCCGCCCTCCGCCTTGCTCTCCGCCTTCTCCCCGCGCGACTCCCGCGCCTCCTGCGCCGCCGCAATGACCCGCGCGCGGAACGACGCGCTCTTGAATGGCGCGGGGTTGAGGGGGACTCCGCGCACGCGGGATGGTGTTCTGCGGGCGAAAAGACAGAGAAAGACAACGTTGACATGGCGACATGACACGACATGACGAGCCAGAGATTAAGTCAAGAGATTGGAACGCCGCGAGCAAGAGAAATTGGAACCACGAGCAAGAGTAAGGCGGCGCTATAGTGGTGGTTTATTCCACGTACCGCCGTGTCACTGCCACGTGGCACTCACCCGTTGGATTTCTCGGACGCGAAGCTGAGCGAGCGGGGCACTTCCGACGGCGTCGCACGTGCTGCCGACGTCGCCGTCGCCGTCGCCATCGCAGCAGCGGGCGATCCAGTCGCCACACTCCTCTTCCCCTTACTCGGCGACGCAGCCGCAGCAGCAGCAGCAGCTGGGGAGGCGTTACCAGCAGCGGTAGCGGCGGCGGCGGGGGAGGAGGAGGTGTGCCGTTTGGTGGTCGCTTGCTGCTCCTCCTCCTCCTGCTTCCTCGCTTGCTTCTGTTTCTCCGAGGCCTGTTGCTTCCTCTGCTGCGTCTCCTTTTCCATCGCCGCCACTGCTGCTGCCTCTGCTGCTGCTTCTCCATACGCCACGGCAGCGGGCGGGGTCGCCGTGATCGCAGTCAATGCGGCGTGGATAGCCCACGCCGCGCTGTCACCGTCGTCCGCGATTTCCGCATCTGACGGGCGGCAAGGATCAGCGGAAGGGAAAGGACCACGGGGGGCGCGGGGAAGAGAAGGCGGGAGAAAAAAATGTTGTGAGAATAACAGCATGAGAATACGGGCAGGAAGATAACGGCAGGAGGAAAGGATCGACGTGACTCCATTACGAGCACTTTGTAGACGCACGTCTCTCGGCTGGTGGTCGGTCAATGTTTCGGGCTTACAGGACGGCGAGCTTTGGAGTAGCTCGCGTCGCGAACCACCATAATCGGTCCGCCCAGGATCTCGCTCAAGCCCAAGTCAGCGAGTAGCTGGTTCTTCCTCTAGACAGCGGCTTGATTGCCTCCTGGCCCTATTGTGACCCTCTCGTGGCTCTCATGTGCCTCCCCTGTGGCCTATCTGTTACGCTCGAGTTGCCCTCCTCTTACCCTCCCCCTAACCTCCTCTTTCCCTCTTCTTACCCTCCTCCGGTGCTCTCCATGCACGTGTTGAGAACTCTCAACAACCAGCTGGTCGAGAGAGGAGGTCCGGCCGTCCATTTTCATCTCTCTCATGGTGACAAGCCACGAACATGTGACCAATCACGAACCAGCAATGCGGAGACCCTGTTTTTCTCTCTCGTTCTCTAACTCTCACTCTTACTCACCCCCTCACTGTCGTACCCTCCCGCTCTCTCTCACCCTCTCGCCCTCTCACTCTCTCACACTCTCTCCTCCTCTCGCCTTTCTCCCCCGAGCTCTCACCCTGCGCGCCGTCGAACCAAGAATCCCCCGAGTGCAGCGCCTCCTCCTCCTCCTTTTGACAGAAGTTAAAGTACTTGGGCGCATGGATATCCTCATACAGAGGGTCAATATACTGCGATGCTCCACCGCTCGACGACGACGACGCGGCTGCTGTTCCTCTCCGGGCCGGTGCGCCGGCAGCTCGGCTCCGCGTGGGAGTTCCCGCCGGCTTCATCTTGCGGTTTCCGCGCTCGCGATTGCGGATTTATTGGGACGGCAGGGAGGAATGGGGTCTTGCTCGTGTAATTGTTGAATGGGATCTGCCGTGGAAACGCTAAAACCGGAGCTACGATAGATAGCTACGTGCAGGAGATAAGGAAACGGTGCTAGAGGAACTGGTGGTCTCAGTGGAGGCCGTTATAAAAACAAACTACCTGCAGCAAGTTAGAAACTACTGGTTGATTGGTATGACGTCTCAGCGGTAAGTGCTGGTTGAAGAACGGTGCATACCCTTGCAGTTATAATCTATACGGAGGAGGAAGGTCATATTGGTGGAGGACGTACGGCAGTTGGTGCGAAAGATTCGCAAGTAGAATAAATTATGTCTGAAGCTACGTTAAGCGGATGGCGCGTGGTGCGGCGAGATGCCGAAATCCAAACCGTTCTAGGGAAGAATATTTGAGTCTGAACGAGGATCGGAAGAATTTAGGATTGTGAGGAAGTAACGAAGCAGCAGGCGCACGGAAGAATATAAGTCGGCTGCCGATTCAGTGCTGAGTGCATTGCACGTGGATTTGCCTGGAGGCAGAAACAAAAACAGCTGCACCAGGAAAAATGAATCGGCTGCATTAGGAGTGTCCTTGCACCTGCTTCGTGATAAAGAGGTCCCTGACTTCACCACGGCAAACACAGCTAGCCTCCTTGCTTGGCATTTGCAAGTCTCCTTGAGAATGGTGTACAGTATCGGTGAGGCAAATGCTCCGCGGCATTCCCAAGTGCGCTGCGCGTGTAGATCAGCCAATTTCGACTAAGGGCGCGTCCCCTCCCTCGATCGATCGCGAGATCGCCGTGAAAAACCGATCGGGCACAACGATCGCAGGATCGGGGTGGGTTTTGGTAGGAGGTGACAATCGGGGATCGATCCCGAGCCCAAGGTGACAGGATCGAAAATACAAGGGGGAAAAACTCTCGATCCTACAAAAGCCGAGATCGGTGTGGCCACGAAGGCACATCGATCGTCATTAGCGGAGGTGACAAGATCGTTGGGCACCAGTTACTGTACATTCGCAAGCCATCTTGAAATCAGGTTACCCTGTCATTTGCGACACTGTAGCTGTCCCCCGATCGATCGAGGTCAGGATCGATCGAGGTAGGGGACGCGCCCTAAAAAGGCGGAAGGATGCACCCAGGCGACAGCATCTTTGTGACCCTGCGGAGGGGAGTGGCGGGGAAAGCCGCATATCCACTCTGCACGGGCTGGCATTTGCGGGGAAAACGGTTGGCGCAAAGACGCGTCGCAGCGGACAATTTTGAGTGAGCGAGTCTGCCCTATCGAGCCGCGCTAGGGCTGCGAATTCTGCTGCAGGCAGACCTAAGCGCGCAGAGCACCGATTGGCTGACGTCCGCACTGACATTCGCGATTTCCCTGGCACTGGGTTGGGGAGGAACCGTCGTTTTGCAGACATAAGCAAATGTAACAATCTCCGCGAGAGCAGACGGAAATGGAAGGCGGAGTGAGTGAGGGCGGTGGAGGGGAAGGAGAAAATGCTGTCAAGAGAGGGAAACACGAGTGGCTGGCTGGCTGGCCGTTGATCCTGAAGCTGAAACGGGCGGTGCTGACTGGCAGGTTTTTCGCGGGAAAGGGTCGAAATTTGAAAATTGTCCCGCGTCCCAACTTCCGCAAATAATGGTGCACCGTTTAGTTCAAACAGAATCTACACTTGCTAATCCACATATCATATTGTATGTTTATTTGTTTAAATTATATATAATTTTCCAGCATATGCAACATCGAGAATTGCCATTCTTGTAGGTGTGTGTTTGTAGCGTTGCTTATGTATGTGCATTAGCAAATGAGCCATATGAGCACTTGAACATTATTAGCGGTAGGTAGCTTGTTGTATGCGAGTACTATGCTAACTTCTGTCTGGATCTCCATCCTGCGTAAAACTGTTGCAGACTGTTCTAGCCAGGGGGTCGATAAAAACCACAAAATGTTGTATTGGTTCTAATTTGTGACCCAGTTGATTGGTGCGAAGGAGTGGTGTTCTGGGATGGGGTCAATAAGTGCACAGCGCTGCTGGAGATGCAATGAGTCCAAACCCATACAATCCCAACACTTGCTGTCTCTTCTTTCTTTTTTCCGAGTGGAGCACTAGTGCTCTGCGTGCTCGGTGAGATAACTACGAGGGCACAGTATTGCAGCAAGCATAGATCACACAGAGTACGGTATCATACACGATAGATACGATGTACCACCTTTACAGTCTGCAGGTAGGAAGATAATTAAGTCTGCACAAATGCTCTACCAACGACCAGCAAGCAATAACCCTGGTTAGCATTACCTACCAAGCAATTAGACTGAAAAGCAACGTAGCATACAGGACAGCCGGTTAGTACCACACACACACTCACACACACACGCCAAGTCTCTTCATTATGATCATAAACCTCAAGCCTTCTTCTTCCCTGCAAGAATGCGAGAGATCTGCAGCCCCCTGCTGAACGCCTGGTTGAAGAGCAGGCGAGTTTGGAACTCGGAAACGAAGGGGAACCAGGCGAGCACGGCGATGGGGATGAAGAGGATGAGCCCAAACAGGTACTCATACAGTACTGCCAGGCCCTTCACTGAGTCCCACATGCTGCTGGGGATGATGGGACGAATTGCCTGTGCGACCTGTTTGGGAAGGAATGTAACATGGGCCAGAAGAGAAGGGGGGCAGAGATGTAAGAAGGTGGTTCAAGTCAGGAGGTGTCACGCAATTGTCACGGAAAAGGACACAAGTAACCAACTTGGAATCACAGGAAGTGCAAACAGCATAATGAACAACACGATGAAGAAAACGGATGACTTAGGAGTGGTTAACACACCTGGAGCATGAACCAGCCAGTGGGGATGGCGGCAAGAATGCAGGCGAAGAGGTCTCCCCAGGTGAAGGAGGTGAGGCCGATGATGAGCGCGAGTGCAATGACGAGGCAGCAGAAGGTGGCTGCCTTGATGATGCGGAACAGCAGCTGCAGGTCCGCTCCAAAGCGCCTGCTGCTCATAGACACGACCTGAGAGGGTGTGGGGGGGATGGAGAGGGAGAAGGGATAGGAATGATTGGGGAGAAGTGAGAGGGAAAGAGACAAGAAGGGCAGTGGGAAGTGCTAAAAGTTGTGAGAGGGAAGTAGTCGGGGGGAGGGAGGAGCGGGGTAGTGACGGGAAAGGGAAGTTTGGGGGCATAACTAGTTAAGAGTAGAGCAGCGAGCACCAAGCGCAGGGAGAGAAAGATGTGCGTGCACCCATGTGCACAGAACCAGCAGCAACAGCAGCAGAAGCAGCGGAACAAGAAAAGAAACCAAGGTTCAAGATTTCCACCTTGAACACGATCAGAAGCCCGAGCACAACCAGCCACGATATGCCATAGATCTGCACACATAGAGACACAGAGACAGACACACAATGGTCAGGAAAGGGATTGAGCAAAGATCGACGAAAATGGGAAGGTCCAGATACTTTGCCTGGCTTACTTTCATCTTAACCCCCTAGTTGATCTCCTCCACCCTACCCACGAGTATCAATCCCTCCCCCAACCCTTTTCCTCTCTCCTCATACCCCTCCCCGCCTCCCTTCCCTCCCCTCCCAAACCCCCCCTTTCCCTCCCCACCCTCCCCCCAACGTACCAGCAGGCTGGTGCTGCCATTATTGACGTCCAGAGTGTACACGATGCCATACTGGTAGATGAGAAAGCGCAGCGACAGCACCACCTCCACCAGCCGCCCCACCCACCCCGTGTGCACCAGATGCTCCTGCTCCTCCTCCCACCACGACTCCCAGCTCCTGTCCCCCTTCACTCCAATCCCCCCGTACGCCCCAATCCACCTGTTCCAGTCCTCCCAGTCCTCCACCACCTTCTGCCACTCAAATGCCGACGGGTTGAACACAAACGGCGCAAACAGCCACGAGAGGCAGAGAAACCACATGGAGAACGTCACCAGGAAGTAACTCAGCCCGTTGCTCGAGCTCGTGCTTTCTCCATAGATCGCAATCACGATCAGCATCAGCAGGAACTCGAGCGCGACGGTGAAATGCGACCGCGCAAACAGCCGATAGTTCTCCGCGAATTTCTCGTGCCGCACCACAAACCCGCGCCCCGTCGGCCGGTACTTAGCCCCCCCGTGCATGATCGTGCGCACAAAGAAATGCGCCTTGGTCCCCAGCGAGAACGTGAAGAACACCGATGCAAGCTGGAGCTGCATGAGGATAAAATCCACCATTGCAGTGCGGAACCCCCTCTCTAGCCCCATCTCCATGAGCATCGGGAGAGCCATGAGCAGACCCAGCTGCACGAGGGCTTGCGAGGAGAGGGCCGACTGGAGCGAGTCGGAGCCTGAGATATTGGCGTTGTTCATTAGGGATTTGCCCACGCCGCTCAGCGACAGGTACACACGGCCGTACAGGAAGGCATAGACCGTCAGCACCACGATCTGCCAGGGAGGGAGACAGGGGGAAGGGGCCGGGAAAGAGGGGAAGAGAAGAGGAAGGGGATGGGAAACAGGTGATTCTTGAGTCGACAGCGGAGCAGAAAGTCACACCCTCATAAAACGAAAATAAAAGAAAAGAGAAGAAAACAACCCTCACAAATGCCCCTGCAACCACAGGCACCAGCAACCACAGGCACCAGCAACCACAGGCACCAGCAACCACAGGCACCAGCAACCAAAGGCCCCAGCAACCACAGGCCCCATAACCCTTGCCTCACAGAAACCCTCATGCGCCACTCACCACTGAGCTGACATAGAACCCCACAGTCGTGAAATACGCCGAGAGCGAGCGCATGAAGTCAAACCGCGACCCCACGCGGTAGATATCCCGACTCAGCGCCTGCTCCCCGTTCCCATTGGCTACTTTCGCCTCAAACAGCGAGATCTGGTTGAGCCCCACGTCTCGGCCCTTCCCCACTTGGATGTACTCGTGGTGCGTGACTGCTCCCCGGCGCAGCGTGCTGTTGATGCCTGCGTAGATGTCCTCGC